CAAACAAACAATAGATAGGTAGATAATCAAAATTCATAGATTTTTGAAAATTATGTGATATATGAGTAGAAGAGTTTTGTTTAGCAAAATGTGAGTAAAAGTTAGAATTTATTCACAGTGTATAAAGTTGGTATTTATAGAGAAATGAGAATGATCCTTGATCGTTAAAATTGCATTACATTTTTTATATTTGGATGGTAAGATTTGAGTCAAATTAAAGGAAATGAGATAAAAAAGAAAATGATTGATTAATTTAAACTACTTCAACTTCATAGTAATAGATAAAGAGAAGTAACAATTGAGTTTTTTTTTCTTTTTTTTTTTTAACAAATTCTATTTTGAATTCATCGAAGCATTCTTCATGATGCATTTAAAAAACAAGATATGAATATTGATTTTGTTACGATACACGTGTCCATTCTTGTTCGATTTAAAATCCATTATCAATCCAAGCTTCTTGGAATCCATGTGAAATCAACAAAAATCATCATGAATTAGCACATTGTTAATTAACTACTTTTATTGATTTTTTATAGGCAAATCCAATATATACAGTTTTGAATTATTAAATAGCTAATAGAACCTCTTTCAGAAGAGACCTCAACCCCAACTTTTGTCTTTCCCTTTTTTATATTTATTTCTTCCAAATTTTCACGTCTGTGGTGACATTGTATAAAATTCTTAAATTATCAATTAAGAGCATATTAAACAGAGAAAATAAAAAGATAGACATGTCATTAGTTGCCATCGGCTATTTCAGGACAAGTGATGTATAGAAACTTTTTGAAAGCTCCATTTGCATTTGAAGAAATGAAACTGTATAAAAATCAAATATTACTCATTCTATTGGATTCAAATATCATTTAATTAAAATTTTCGTAGGGTATATATTTTGAACCGTGTGAAGTTCTGAAAGAGAAAAGTAAGATAAATATAAGAAATCACAATAAAAAAAGAAAAAAGAAAAGAAAAGAAAAGGAAGAAAGAAAATGACATTCTATTAGTTACCATTAGCAATTTAATGACTGGAACCATATTAAAGTTTTTTTGGAAATTTCACATATTGAAAAAAATAGAAACAATAAGGATCAAAGTAACTTTTTTAATTAAAGATGCAATTACACTTTTGTTATTTGGCTAATATTATTTGGAAAACCTAAAAAAAAAAATTGCGGAGAACGTCCAGTGGACGTAATGTCTCCACATACCAATGAAATCGTGCGTGGGTTGCATTATATGAGAAGTAAGATTTATGTGCGTCCACAAACTTCAACCACCACTTCCTCCATCAGCTGTATTCTAAAGAGTCAAACTTGTTTGTTTTAATCATTTTTTGTAGGGTTTTTTATTACATTGCTAGAATTATAGTTTTCTCACATTTATTATTAGTACGAAGGAATTTCATCGTATTTATATATTAGTTGAAGTATAAGATATTTTTACTTTGATTTATATATATATTACCTCGTCGAAGGATCAAAGCAAATCTCGAACTCATAAAATTTTGTATTTGCATGTGAACTTTTTTCCTATAACCTGAACCACGCTCGGAAGCAAGTTTTGTTATTGCTAGAAATACAGATACGTGCATTATGTCGGCTCAAAACATAAATATGTAAAAATATAAACGCAGTGGTAAGTAATTGATTTATTCAGTGTGATTCATTAGAGTAAATTACAAATTAGACCTTGATAAATAAATTAATTAGTTTTTCTAGTTTTAAAAACTAATTATATAGTTTATGTAATCAGTATTGTCCACGACTAACTTAATATTTTTTATTTTATAAAATTTCTTATTTCTTTATTAATCTTTTCATATTTTTATGACCTTTCTATTAAAAAAATAAAAAATTTAAATAAATAGAAAAATAGTAAAAAAAATTTAAATAATTAGTTTTTGAAGTCAAAATGACTAATTAATTCATTTCTCGGAGTAAGAGGGACTAATTTATAATTTACTTTGATTTATAACTAGCTTCGAGTAATACTAACGTCAATATATTTAAAAAATAATAATAAATTGACATGATTATCAAGAGATATCTAAATATCTTTTAATTATTCTAATTTTATAATATTTTAAATAAATAATTATACTATTGTAATATATTATGATGCCTTTGCATTTTTTTTTGTTGACATTATCACTATTATTGTGTGAATTAAATATATACGACGTATAAACTAGTTCAAAGATGTTTCTATTAGTAAATAAAATAGAACATATGAATAAAACACAACATAAGAGATATTGATGCTTTAAATATTTTAAGTGAAAATTATCACGAGCATATTGTTAACCAAGTCTTGTGCATGTATGATCTAATCATAAAATTGCAACACAAATTAATTGATTTGTTTGCTTGCTTGCTAGATTAAGTCTTATCATTACTCTAATCAATGGATTATTGTGGTCGTCAAGGCACTTCAAAATAATATGTTTTTGTTTACAAAGTCCAATCCGCCATGTGTTGATTCACAACTTAGATATTGGATCAGTGGGAGAGGGTTATTGTTTTGTCTTATTATTGTTTTTTTTTTTCATAGGTGATAGAGTAAGTTGATTGATGATTAAAATCATACAAGTATGTCGTCAATATTTTCATAGTATAATAATAATAATAAATTAAAACGGGAATTGCAATTCACTGCACGAAAAGTAAATTCATAAAACTTTTCACAATAATGATTTTTTCAATGAACTAAATAGTATATCCGTGGATGTTGTTAACACTTTCAAACTTCGATCCTAACAAAAATTGACCAACATGAGAATTTTTGGTTTTTTTTTTTACACGTGATACATATGGTTGAGTTTAGCACCGTTATAAATAAATGAAAAAATGAGCCATGCTCTTAAGTCTTATTGATATAAGATTTCAATCATCAAAAATTAAAAAAATAAAAAGGATCAATTTCTTTCAAACAACCACCAGAGTCTAAAAAAATACCAAAACCTTAATTATTCAAAGGACTAAGTATCCTAAAACAACATGAATTTCGGATACAAATTAAAAATCTAAATATAAATCGTTAACATTCTTATAAAAAAACAAAAAAAAAGAAAAGAAAAAAGAAAAGAAAAGGAGACTGCCATCAACAAGAAAGCCATCCACCGCGATTAGGGTTTTTTTCCAATTGATGGTCTTTTTGAAGGAGGTTTTTGCGGTCTTGTTAAATATAAACTAGCCACGATAAACTTATCTCTCTTGTATTTTACTCGTGTGTTTGTGTGTATATACACACACACAATATTAAGGAAACTGTTTAAGTACGGAATGTACGGATACGTTAGCATGACTAGCATCCCAAGCTTGGTAAGTGAATTAAGGCAAGCATAACAAATTTGGTCAATGATATTGAAAAATTGAATTAAAATTTTTACAATATTACCAATCTCCCAAAAAGAAAAATAAAAGTTACGTTATATCGTTGTCATGTGATGAGGATGGAAAATGAGAGTTGTCCCTGTAAATGTTCAACAATTCAATGGAATATTATTATGTGCTTACAAGCAAGTTGGGAGAAGAAAGAAAGGCATATGATAAGAGCATATTCTTATTCACTAACACCACACACATCGTCATATAATAATGTTCTTAGTAATATATATAAAATATATTTCCTTTGAGAGTTGACGAATTATTGGAAATAGGCCCTACTACCTCACGTTGGAAATAAAATATGCACCATAAGTTCAAATTAAATTAAAATAAAATAAAATAAAACAAAACATTCCTGAAATTGAAACATTTCTTTGGAATTTATGCAAATTGGCAAGAGAGAACATGGTTTTTCGAATTCAACTATTTATGATAAGGATCGAGAAACGATAGGAGTATATATTGCTGAAATAGAAACGCACCCAAACTGTAATAATATGAAAAGAAAAACACGCTTATTCAAACGTACAATTTATTTCTATTTGACATTTCGGCTGAACTTTTTTTTTTTTTTTTTTTAAGTTGAATATTCATGATGGCTTTATGTTGTGATTTTATAACATGATATTTGATTTTTTGCTGTGAAAAATGAGGTATACTTCTTTAATTATTAGATTAACCTCCCCACATTACAAAATTATATTTTGTTTTTAAAGCCAAAATTCTTTATATATCAGCTTTTTAATATTAAAATTACACATATGGAGATTAGATAGATAAATTTAGCTATAGAATCAGCTTTTCATATTTTTATAAGATCCAAAACCAAATTACAGAAAATGCTTGAAGAGATGTACAATTTATAATACTATAGTTGAACCTTCAAAAGAACTTAATTGAGGGCTAAATTGCAAATTTGCAAAGTCAAACACCAACATCTAATCCACCTAAAATACCATGTTTTTTTTTTAACTCGAATATAATTCCACCGAAAAAAAATCATCGCAGAATTTTTAAAAGACATTGCTGCAGTAACGGTAAGAAAACGAGAACAAGTAAAAACATGATTGATTCAGTCAGTAAAGTCGTGGAAGAGAAAACCAACAAGACAACTCACACAATCTCCTTTATTCTTACAACAGTGTCAAGAAATTAAAGCCTACATTTTTAAACAAACAAATAAATAAATATAAAACAATTTCTTAGTTTTTCCATTTCATTTCAATTTCTCTCCTCTCTCTCTCTCTCTGCTTGTGGTCTGTAGCCTCTCTCTCTCTATCTCTCTCTTTCTTCTATTCTCTGCTTTCACCTTCTCTCTTCGATCTGCTCCAAAACGTCTTGGCTCATTCTCTGGTTTGATTCTCTCGAACTAAACTGTAATCTTCAATACAAAAAAGATTGAAACTTTCACTTATTTGGTTTGCTGGCTTGCTTATTTCTTGTTTGTTTGGTTTTTAAACTCTCATTCTGTGTGTTTGTTTACATAATAAATGAAACCCAGATAGATAAATGGTTGAAGATATGTGCTTTGAGTGTAGATTTTGAGAAGTGAAGGGGTTTTTATTGCAGTGGAGTTGACCCAACTCCAGGTGGTTCAGCAAGGTGGGATCCCAAATGGAAACAAACTTGATTCGTGGTGTCTCAGATTCTTGTTACTTGCAGAAATTCAGACTCTATGAAACTCGCTCGGTATATACATAATATGCTTGCTCCCTCGTCTTCAATCTTTATCTTTATGATGTTGCTGTGTTCGTTCGTTCGTTTTTTTTTTTTTTTGGGGGGGGGGGTGTTTTGAGGTTTATGATTGTTGGTTTAATAGTTCTTGTTTGTGATTTCTGGGATATTGATATATATATATATATATATATATATATATATATATATATATATATATATATATATATATATATATTTTTCTGTTGTGCCTGCGTTCGTTTGAATTTAGCTGTGATTGCCTTCTTAAAGTGAGGAATTTTTAAATTCTGATGATTTTGGTGGTTTGATGTTGATGGGGTTGATAGTTTGCATTGGATATGATTCACATGGTGTTAGACTGAGGATTTTGACTTGATGGGGTGGTGTAGAGCTGATCGGTAATTCAGCTTTGGAGGGAATGTTTCGAATAAAGCACTCATTATTTCTGTGATTGTGAACAGCAATTGATTGAGTTTGCGTTTGGTTCTTTCTTGCTTGGTTCATTTTTAAAACTTAAAACATGCTAAGTTTATGATTTTGTTGAACAACTAGGATGTGGAATTTGTGCAAAAAGTCAGGAGTTACACATGTCCAAATTTTGCTTTTGCTATATTTGTTTTGCCACCTCATTCTTTTTTCCCAAAATAATGAAAGAAGAGGATATGAATTCTGCTCAGCTGCCATTTGGTTTTATACTATAGCAGCTCCTTGATTTGTCGACGGGCTTGTTCCTCAAAAAATACTTCTTCATTCTGCTAGATTTGGGTGTCAGTTGTTGCACAATTCTTTGATGTTGTTACAATCTACTGGCAGAATTTAGGTTGATAACATTAAATATATTTTGACGATTCTGTTTGTTTTTCCTACTCTTTCCTCTTATTCTGCATAAACTGAGATCAACTTTTTAATCATGTATTAATATGAATTTCTTTCCCCACATTTGCTTACCTTTATGATTGTTTCCTCATGTTTACTTGCACAGTATCACGTTTTTGAGGCATAAAAGGTCTATAGAATTTTAGAAGATTTTTATTTTCGGCGTGCAATCAATGAATATAACTTCATTGTATTAATCTTGTTCCAATAACGTGGTCAAGCATAATCCATCTTTTCTCAGTGAATCTCATAAAGAGTGCTACAGACATGAGGCATTAATTTCCCAAGTTTTACCAGACCTTATGTTTCCAGTTGTTTTATATGTTACATAAAGAGAGCAATCCTCATAGGTTTTGGCACTTTATGTGAAGTTGTTACCCCACCATATCTTTGGCCTTACATTTGAAGTGTTGTTGGACTTTTTTCCTTTCTGTCTTATTGAATTTCAATGTACTGATGATGTACTCTGCCCTTTTAAAAACTCTCCACTTTTGTTTTATGGAACTTTTTAGTTGCTTCTATCATTTATCCCGCATTTTATTTTACAACAACAGTAAAGTGCCTTTATTATGAATTTATCTATCAAAACATTTTCATTTTTGCATCGATCATTTATTTATGTGTAATGGTTATCAAACCATTACACATCTAATATGTCCATGACAATTTATCAAACCATCATTACAACATCTTTTAATCCCAAATCTAATATGTGGCAGAATTTTTATATGATTGGAAGAGACAAGAACAGAACCTTTTGGAGAGTGTTAAAGATTGATCGATTAGAGCCATCTGAACTCATTGTTCTTGAAGATTCTACAACATATTCAGAAATGGAATGCTGTGACCTGCTGAGGCGAATACATGAAGGCAACAAGTCAACGGGTGGACTTAAATTTGTCACCATTTGTTACGGAATTGTTGGTATGTCATATCTGCAAGGTCTTCTATGCAAGCTCTTAACCTGTTTCATTATGGAACTCATGGTGCTTTTTTCTTTAACGTAGGGTTTGTTAAATTTTTGGGACCCTATTACATGCTGCTGATTACAAAAAGAAGGAAGATCGGTGCAATTTGTGGCCATACAATTTATGCTATAACCAAGAGCGAGATGATTCCTATTCCAAATTCTGCTGTGCGGTCCAATATGACTAATTCTAAGAACGAGAACAGGTCTTTTGTCCATTCTGCATGTAAATGTAATATGTACTCGGTACTATTAAGGAGACCTAAGAGACTAGTATCAGAATTGCCATTGTTGATTTGTAATTAGATGATGACTTTTTTATGGTTGTGGTGGTTTGATTTTTAAATTAAATGTTTGGTATTTTTCTTTCATTTAATTGTTTGGGACAATTAGTCTGAGTTGCGCGTTGTCTATTAGAAGTAGACTGGTTCAACATTGTGGAGGTAATTTCTCGACTATTTTGTCATTACACCCTTCAGTGTTAATTAATGATGCGGGCTTTTGTGATTCAAACTCAATCATGTTCTTCTGGTAGTTAATGTGGTTATAGTTTTATCTTCAAAATTATTCATGTTCTTCTGGTAGTTAATGTAGTTATAGTTTTATCTTCATCTTTCCTTTTTAATTTTTGTTTTTGAGACGAGACAAGTAGGGCATCTAATTCTAAGGTATGCATATCAAATATTACTGTTGTGTCCTTCGTAGTTGATAATTTTGTGTAGTGGCTATTGCCAGTTCATTTCCTGCATATGTACAGGGGCAAGCTTCGTTGCTGTTGTGATGTTAATAAAACATGCTGAATGAACTGACTTGTCCTTCCATTTTTTTTTCTTGATGAAATAGATACAAGAAGCTCCTATGCACGGTGGATCTTACAAGGGACTTCTTTTTCAGCTACTCCTACCATGTCATGCATAGTCTTCAGAAGAATTTGTCTCATAAAGAGACGGCCCAACTTCACTATGAATCAATGTTTGTTTGGAATGAATTCTTAACTCGAGGAATTCGAAATAACCTCAGGAATAGTCTATGGACGGTGGCATTAGTATATGGCTTCTTTAAACAGGTGAATTTTATTTCAAGTTACCAACTATACATAAGTGCTTAAAGACATTAGATGCAAGTAAAGAATAGTCCATGATAGAAAATTGGTCATTACCAAATATGATGGTGTATGTTACATTTTGCCTCTTCTCTCTATTCTCTTAACTGGCTATTTTTGTTGGTTCTTTTCAAAGCTATTGGGTTTATTATTACATCCCATTTTGAGTTAGGAGTTGAAGTTCTTCTATCAAGGTCTCTGGAGAGGGAAATTAACTAAATTAAAAAACAAGCTTCTTTTGTAAGTTGAACCGGGTCAGGCAGAAGATTAACACCACCCACATTTATCTGGCCTTACGAATCTCCTCTCAATCTTTACTGATGCAAATTTATGTGAACTACTGCGAGACTTCAATCTGATCTTTATGGTTTCCTGTGTTGGTATCCAGGTCAAACTTTCAGTATCTGACAGGGACTTTAAGCTGGTTCTCATTGCTAGACGATCACGACATTATGCTGGCACAAGGTATAGATAGTCTTCAAAACTTTTGAACAGCATATCCCAGCTGGATTTGCCCATCCCTACTTGGCTGCTTGGATATTTTGCCCGTGAACATGATAAACTCTCAAATATTGCTTGTATTCAATTTGTATATTAATCTTTTCATAGCATCTGCTGTTGACTTTATAAAAAGACCAATACCCAGTTTTATCCCACTGATCGCTGCTGAACTTACAATGAATTTCATTGTGACTTACTATTCTGGTCTGCTTAGATATTTAAAACGAGGCGTGAATGAGAAGGGTAGAGTTGCAAATGATGTTGAGACAGAACAAATTGTGTTTGAAGATGTTCCTGAAGAACAGCCAGTGCAAATAAGTTCTGTTGTGCAGAATCGGGGTTCAATTCCACTTTTCTGGTCTCAGGAAACTTCACGATTGAATCTTAAACCTGACATTATGTGTACGACTTTGGTACTCTGAACCTTTTTATTCTCAGTGGTAAAATCTCATAAGTTAATTATTTATTGATATTTTGCAGTATCAAGGAAGGACCAAAATTTTGAGGCAACAAAACTGCATTTTGAAAATCTCGTCAAGAGATATGGAAATCCGATAATTATTTTGAATTTAATAAAGGTAGGTTGCTGCAACTACCAAGAAACAGATTGCTCCTCTTATCTGTGCTCCTGTGATTTTTTAAGCTTCTGGTTCATGAAAATGGATTCATGATGGTTTTTTTTTTTTTCATTATTATTGTTGTCATTATTATTATAATTTGCAATTGTTTGGGATTGAGGCTTAGTTGTTATTTTATGTTTTTGGCAATTATGTTTGTGATTGGCAGTCGCGTGAAAAGAAGCCTCGGGAAACCATACTTCGTGCTGAGTTTGCAAATGCCATCAGATTTATCAATAAAAGTTTATCAGAGGAGAATCGCTTAAAGTTCCTACACTGGGATTTGCATAAACATTCTAGAAAGTACTTCACTTGCCCATGCCATGTTGTTCTTTTCCACATTAATTTTATGATGATTGAAGTTAATATCGTTTAGTTGTTTTCAACAGAGCTACAAATGTCTTAGCACTTCTAGGAAGAGTTGCTGCCTATGCATTGAATTTAACTGGGATCTTTTATTGTCAAGTCATGCCAAGTTCAAGTTCCAAGGGATTGCTAGATGGGTCCTGCTTTGAGTAAGTTAATGCAAAAGGCTTCCAACTCTATTTACATGGTATTTTTTTTGTCATATCCACTCAGGGAAATGTCTGCTCTTGGAATCCGTTTTCTTGCTTAACTTCACACAATATTTACACAATTGCTTTCCTGGCCACTTTTAAATTTTTAGTAAATTCATTTACTTGAAGCGCTTTCTTTTCTTCTTCTTCTTGTTCTTCTTCTTTTTGGCTTTTGCTTTGTTGAATTTCAAATGATTTGAGGAAATGTGTTGATTCAAAATTTAAAAATTGCACACGCGCAGCTTGTGGAATGTGTGCTTTAGTAGTTGTACATTGTCATCATTAAAAAAGAGGTGGGAAAAACAAAGAAAATGTAATATTATGGAGAATGTTACTTTTTTAGTAATCACTCATTTTAGGGTACACTGCCATGAGCTTTTCCTTTCTTTCTGTCTAATTCCTGTTAGTTACTTATGATGCTAGCAATGCAAATGGTGTTCCAATGGTTCAGGGAATACGATGGTGACTGTTCTCCTGAAGAAAATGGCAACATCAGCAAGTTGGATTCAGAAATTACAAAAGCTGACTGTGATGCAAATTTATATCAGAGTGTCAAGGTCCCGATGTTCCAAAATGGGGTTTTAAGGACCAATTGCATAGACTGTTTAGATCGCACAAATGTTGCGCAATATGCCTATGGATTGGTGGCTCTAGGACATCAGCTGCATGCACTTGGATATATGGAATCCACAAATATTGATCTAGATAATCCTTTAGCGGAGAATCTAATGAGGATTTATGAAACAATGGGTGACACACTTGCACTGCAGTATGGTGGGTCTGCTGCTCACAACAAGGTAATCCTTATGGGTTTGGGGAGGCCTCCAGTTTGCTGATATGATTAAATATGATTTGACATAAATGTGTGGATCAAATACGTTTTCTGGTACAGCTAGCTGTTACAATTTTTTCTCACTTAAGATTATGGAGCTTGTAGGTGTGATTGTTTTTCTTTAGTCAACTTGAAAGCTGCAGTACGGTGGATCCATTGCTCACTCAGTTGACTTGGTTTTTAGGATTTTAGAAATCAGAAAGAAACATCTACTAGCTTGTTGATGTTTCATAGTTCTGGATGCACGTGTTTCACGTGCCGATTATGGAAAAAATATACGAAATTTGTGTCGTAGTTTTGTTCAATGTTCCAGTGTGCAAACTAAAACTACTTGAGAAAGTTGGCTCTGCCACGACTGCCTTTGATTTAAGAAATAAGTTTGCATTTCATTGCCTCTTGTACCACTTTGGGTATGCTTCCCTGCATGGGTAGAAAGAAAACTCAGGAGTAAAAAGAAAAATGAATGTATTTACTGCTTTAATTGTTAGTTCATTACTTAAAAAAAGCAAAACACCCTTGTTTTTAAAATATACTCAATGTTGCAGTCACTCTGTCCATGTCCTTGTGAAAATTCTAGTTTTGGAACTCTATATAAAGCTATCTATTTGAGTTTAGCATTACGCATGCATCACTATGTTGCAACGATGATGTTAAATAGATTTTTTCTGAGAGAAGAGGCCAGTGGAAAGCAGCAACTCACTCCCAGGAATTCTTTAGAACTCTACAACGTTATTACAGCAATGCCTACATGGATGCTGAGAAACAAGATGCTATTAATGTGTAAGTCAATTAGGTTCTGTTCTTCACTGCCATCATTTCTTTTTCTGAAAAGAACTTCCAAGATCAGGGAGTTCTTAAATTATATGTTTTGATGGTAGGTCCGTTGCAGGGGTTATTTGATGCCAGCATTTGATGTGATATTTGCCTTAACTTTTGATCAGGTTCTTGGGTCATTTCCAGCCACAGCAGGGAAAGCCAGCACTGTGGGAATTGGATTCAGATCAGCATTATGATGTTGGCAGGCGTGGTCCTGATTTAGTTGAGAATGCTAGGTAATATGTTCCTCCTAACATGCTATGTCTCAACAATTTTTGTACAGACAACTCCCTCGCTGCCTTAACTATAGCTGAATTTGAAAAGGCGCACTTGTTTAGAAAACCACCTTGGTTGGGTGGGGTTAGGGGTAACATTACTTTGGACAAAGGGTATGAAAGTAGGTAATCATTGACAATGCAAAAACTTAACAGAGCTAAAAAAGTCGTTGGACTATGATTCTACATGAAAGGGAGAATTGTGGTCAGAATTTCAGATTCAGTATTACACTTCATATCTATGGTTTTTTTTTGTGAATAAGAACAAAAAGGAAAACTGGGTATTAAAAGATATGTTGGTCAAAGACCTTGCTTTGGAGAAAATGTATGTTTATAATATTATGTAGATATGGTTTCAATGTTGTATTGCAAATAAATCACAAGCTTAAAGACTTTTTTTCAGCAAATGTAATTCCTAAAGTCTTTTTTTTTCAAATTGAACATGCAACTTGGACATTTGATTTCTCATTTCAGATATTTGATTCTGATAATTTTAAACAGAATCGCTTTTCTCAAACTAATTATGTGTGTTTAAACATGCTTGTGTATGATCATAATAAGATAATGCTAGAGTTACTTTGACTGTATCATGATAAGAATATAAAAATATCATCAACCTAGAGTTTCATTTGGAGGGAAACTTACATGCTAATATATATATAAATATATATATTTTGCTATCTGCAGGTCATTCATTAAAAGATCAATGTCAGATGGCAATCTTCTCTGCGAAAGTGAGTCACTTGTATCAGCCGCTGATGTTGGATACAGTAGGCCTTTATATGAAAAGGAGGGAGGAGGAGTTAATAAGGGTCTTTCAGACTCAACTCCAGAAATGTCAACTTGTGAAAGTGACATATCAGATTCCAGGTCTGCTCAAATTGCTTTATGCTTCTCATGCTTGTTACGTTTTTGTTACCCTATTTGATAAGTTAAACCCATGGCTTATCTGATTTGTATTCACACTTCTTAGCGGTGTGTAGTTGAATACTAATTAAAAAGATAAATAGCTTCTCTTTTTTTAAGTAGGTTATATTTCTTTAGCCGTTAGGAGATGAGTTGTCATTCCACTGCAATTGACATCAATTCTTTCACATCTAAGATGAAGGTATGGGAGTGGATAAGTGAGGTATATTTATAAACACTGCAGCTACAAAATCTGGCTGTCATTGTCGCTCAAATTTCTGCATGTTATCTTCGGTTGGGAATGGAGATACTTGGATGCATGCCTTAACCTTTTATACCATGCAGTTGTTGCATTTGATGTGCTCCCATGGCTGATTAGTGTTGGTTGTTTTTTTAGGTACACTCCCTCATTGCCTTGCAGGAAGCTTTTTAAAGATGTGGAGGAATACCAATATTTTGAAAGTGATCATGTTTGTTATGACGAACATGGGGATGCTTGTAGCTGCTCAAATTTCCTCGATATGGACTGGCTTTCTTCATCTGGGAATTCGTGTGAAGATCTATGTGATAGGTAGTTTTCTTACGTCGTATTCAGTGTTTCAGTTCTAGAGCCAAAGGAAATACTCACCAATTATTCAGTAGTGCTTCAGCTCAGTAGCCAAAGGAAATACTCACTGATTGTTTTACTGGCTGCAGGTCTAGTGCTGGCCTATCATCTGAGAATCTTGCAAATGATATGAAAATAGAAACCACCACATCTGCTAGTGAGTCTGGTTCTAGCTTGAAGGTCAGTATCTTTTGTTTTAGTTCCAGTGTCACATCATGCATGATGCCTTCGTTAGCGACCAGTATAATGAGTTGTCTGGAGTCTGGACTTCACGCTATCTTCCAAAAAAGATGGGTTACGTTCACAATTTGTTTAAAGAGTATGTAGCTATCATGTTATTTATCAACATTTAACTCGATTGATGCCATGTGATAGTAAATTGGCTAAAATTTGCTCGATCGCTCTCTTGTATGTTTAAGCATCAAATATATTTTACTTTTTGTTTAAACCATTTGTTGTATATTTCACTGTTTGAGGTTTCATCACTTCCGTTCCTAATTTCTTTTAGTTTCAGAATGTTAATCTGCTGCTTCCTTTGGTTCAGGGAAGAAGTCAAACTGGGACTGATCTTTCTTCTGATGACCTTATGGGTGGATTTTCAGACCGCTTCATGCGGTGGGTAATGCACGGGGAGATGCTCTCTCATTGAAGCTGACCTCCAATTTTCCATTTCATCATTCATTTGAGCCACTCTCTTTAATCCCATCCGAAGGATGTGGATTTCGCTATAGAAAATAAAGAGCAAGAGATCAACCTAAAGATACAACTCCGCATTTGTTGAGACAGAAAGTAGTTCTCGGATCATTCAAGACTTTGCTCTATTTTGTTCAATTGTACCTCCAGAAAGGGCGTGATTGAGGAATCACAAGGGTAAATAGCACAGCTAAATTCATTTGGAGTTCTCAGAGTCTCCATTTCCTTTAGGGTCAATTTTCAAAACCATGTATATATTTTGCATATATCTTTGCGTATAGAAAGAGTAGTTCTCAACTCTCACATTCAAATGTTACTCTCCGCTGCTAACTTGCAACTAACCCAAGTTGCTTTCACAGAACCATGGCACCAATTATGCGTATACTGAAATAAATTTCGTTGTAGAATTATGCCATCTACTAAATAAATTATCATGCATTCTACTAAATAAAGTGTGCGATCAAAAGTTCAAAGGGTTTTTACAACTACAGTCGGAAGCATCATCGCAATTTGCGTTTCACACTTGGAAGAACTGGTTTAAGCAGATATGAATCAAGCAGGTCAAATATGGGGACCAACAGATACGATATCATTTACCTAAAAGAAATAGAAGCTTAAATAACGACAAAATCAAAACACAGCAATAACAAAACAAAGCATTACTATAGATACCAAAATCAGCGTCAAAATCTCTTACAAATTTAACGTCTAGAACTACAGAGACCAAAACAGTTAACATAAAAAACATGTCCATTCCCCATTTGATGTTTATGACCCCTCAAAAACTAACTCATTGTGAACATGAACATTCCAGCTGAATTTAAACATCCCAGCCAGTAGCAACAGGAGCAGGGCCACCAAGTTCAGCAGGAGGTAGCTGTGCTGGTGCTGCTGCTGGTGCTGGTGCTGTTGCTGGTGCTGATGCTGCACCCCATTCATCAGAGAGTACACCTACGTTTTGAATGAAAGGGTGGGAAGAATACAAAGGAGATGAGTGCATATAAAACTGAAAGATACACAACTTATAAGAGTCTGAAGGAATTGTCGTTACCTTGCTCTGGGAAGAAATTGGCAGCAGGAATGGGTTGTTGGGCCACATCAGCATTCCATTGGCTATCAGTTATTGTGTTACCCCATTCACCAGCAGAAATCCCATAATCAGCAGGAGGGAGCGCATAATCAGCAGCTGGTACTGTTTCCTCCTCTTCCTGTTGCTTGGTTTCTTCAGGTTCCCTGTAAAAGAACAAGTCCACCTGTCCAATGAAAAGACAGATGAAGCAGTTCAAAACCAATCCATACAACTTGTGCAAACACATAAAACTTACCAAGAATATACAAAGCCAATCTCAAGCAATAGAATGTGGCATTAAAATACTAAGGAAAAACAGATGCATTAGGAATGCCTGTATCTGCTGCAGGAAGAATTAAAAGTTACAGATTGTGCTAAGACCAGTTTAGCATGCATAGCACCCAGTCATCCTACTTGAAATTTAAAGAGCAAAGGGAAAAAAAATGGAAAGCTCAGAGAAAGGGGGTGGAGGCTAGACTGCGAAACGCCTCCAATAAATATCTTACCATAACGTCCCATTTGTGCCCTTGAGGAATAGTTCCACGCATCTGAAGAACCATTCTTGCCAACAGCCAAAACAGGCATCCAATGCTGTGCTTGCCTTTGTTATTAGCAGGAATTCCAATATCCACATAACGCATAGGAGAGTCAGTGTCACAGAATGCAATGGTTGGAATGTTTCCAAGAGCTGCTTCCTTGATAGGCTGCATGGCATGAATGATAATGATTAAATTTAAATACAGAGAGAAAACAACAAAGTGCAAAAAAAAAAAAAAAAAAAACAGAAGGCATAATGAGTTCATTGCTATTGACGAGTTTGGGTTCACCTGGTGATCGGTCCTTGGATCAGTGAGGATCAAGAGACGAGGTTCACTGAATGAAGTTTGCATCTGATTAGTGAAGGTACCAGGAGTGTGTCTTCCAGCAATTGCATGAGCACCAGTGTATTGAGCAAACTTGAGGACAGCTCTTTGACCATAGGGCCTTGCAGATTGAACAATAATATCCTGGGGGTTCTCGATTGCAACAATAACCCTGGCAGCCAGCAGAAGCTTCTCCCATGTTTTCCCAAGGTTGATGATATAAATTCCTGAGCAATAAACACCAAGTAAATGTAAAAAGAAGCAGCTAGCAATTCAGGGCTAAAGACTCCAAGTTAGAACTAAATACTCATTCCCATCACATACAGTACAATTATTCAAAAAAGAAAAAAAAAAGAATGTGAAAAAAACTAAGTTCAACAAACATTAAGTCAAATTGACCATTAAAACTAACAACTGTAAAATAATTAGCCCCTCGCATCTCATACAAAAAGATCTCAACAAATGACAAAAACCACACAAATCACTGCTTTTCCCTTCCACCAGTTTTCTCCCACCAATGACAAATCATCCAAAAAACACATCCCCAAACCATTTCAAGTTCGTCACTTAAGCTCCAAAACTACCAAACAAGCAAGCATCAGCAACCAAATGATATCCTAATACGCGAATAAATTCTACTCAAGCACATGTATATAAAAAGAAAACACAAAACACACAACGCGTGAAAGAAATCATGCTCAAAGACTCAACCTTCAATAGATCAGCAACACCAATAGACCACGAAACAAAAAAAATAAAATAATTATTTCCTCGAAATAGAACGATCTACACATCAAAAAAGATGGGTATATAAAAAGAGAGTGTGTAAGTAATATACCATCATTGCGGCGCTTGAAAACATAACGTTCCATTTGGAAGTCACAGTTTTTGGTGCCAAGATGGACCTCGGCAGCCAACATCATCTGAATGTCTAGCTCTTTCTGCGACAGTGCCCTCGCTGGTGCCCCCTCAGCTGCTCCTGTTGCTGCCGCCATGGTTTACTGCTTGAGTGTGTGCTGGAGATAGAGAGAGACAGAGAGAAAGATGAAGGACTAGGGTTTTTTAGTTTTATGAGAGTGAGGAAGCGATAGATACAGAGCTTCTGCTGCCACCAGGAGGGTTTTTTAAGGCCCAAACAAATATATTATGGGCCTGTACCTATTCGAACGACATGTCCTCGTTTGATATTGTTATAGGCGTTTTGCTTGGTCGAAAACGGTGTAGATGTTAATTTTTTAATTTTTATGATTTAATTATTTGATTTTTTAGGTTTTTATTTTCTCACTTAAATTTAGTATATTAAGGTGTCGTGTGGTTATTAGGAATGAAAAGTATGGAATGAGAATACAAGAATCGGAATGAAAATTAAGAAATCGAAATGACATTTGTATTCTCATATTGTGTTTGGAATACTAATGAAGAATCGAAATGTAATTTAAATTTTTTAATATCTGATTTTTTATACAAATAAAAATAATAATTAAAAAATAATTTTATCAAATTGTAATAGTTGTAAAAATAATAAATGTGATAGTGATAGTGGTTGTTATTGTGGTGGCGGTTATGGCAATGGTGGTTTAGCGATGATTGTGGTGGTAGTGCTAAAGCTAGTTGCGGTGGTGGTGGTTGTGGTAATGGCGTTGGTAAAAGTAGTTAATAGACAATAAATAAATAAAATATATTATTTTTTTGAAAAAAAATTCATTCACATTCCTTATTTTTATTCTCACATCGTATATGGGAATAAAGTTGTGTGTAAATTTTCATTTTCATTCCCACTCTTCATTCTCATTCTCACATCATTCCTTTTAACCAAACAGCTATAACGTGAAAATAAAATTTTTATTTATATTCCAATAACTTTATTCTTGATTACCAAACAACACCTAAATTTAAGTAATTTCATGATTCCATTCCAAAGAAACGATCTATATTCAATCGGATGACATTTAAAAAACAAAACCATTATTCTTCACATATTTCTTTTTTTTTATTATTATTATGATATTTTTTATTAAACCTAATACAGTTTTACATAGAATTTAATAAATTATGATTGAATTTTAATTTTTTGATCCTTAAAACATTCAATGAATTCTATTACGGTGTTTAAATTTAAAAATATCAAATTAATTAATTTTTCAATATTTATGATTAATGAATAAAAAATGCAAATTTCTTGTATAGAAATTCTCAAATTAATAAACATAAAATTTCAAACACATATTCACATTAATTACAAGCAATGATTCGTCTTTCTATATAATTTCAGATATTCTTTTATATAATCAAGATGTCAATAGGAGTTTTATCATTTAAAAAAATTAATATTTTTTTTAATTATAAGTAGGATTTTTTAGAAAAAGAAATAAAAATGAGAATTAATAACAACAATCAAGGATTTTTTTTGTCCAATTCTGATAGAGTAAATTATAAATTAATTCCTCTAGTTTTAAAAAATATATTAAATAATTTCCTTTATTTTAAAAATTATTATTTAATTTTTTTTATCATTGTTAATTATGTTTAGTTTAATATTATTTTTATTTTACAAAATATTTTTTTCATCAATATTTTTGTTTTTTTCATTTTTGATTTTTATAAAACATAAATTAAAAAAGGAAAAAAAAACTAATTTATAAATATATTTAAAAATATAAAAATTAATTCATAAATTTTCCAAACAAGAAAAATTTATTTATTTATTTCTCCATTAAGATGGACTAATTTATAATTTACTCAAAGCTGACTAGATAACAACAATTGGAAGATAACAAAAAGAAAAAAACGAAAGAAGCGACCTCGAGACATGTCAACCACTGAAACACATAAGCGACCTGTCGTCGACCTGAGCTAAAACCCTACCTCTAATCAGTTAAAACTCTCTCTCTATACGCAGGCAGTGGCAGAAGCGGAGGCAGTGGCAGTGAAGCAATGGTGAAAGAGAAAAGCACGCAGCCCTTAAAGGACATAGAGCTGTTGAAATCAGAGGTAGCCTCTTTCGCTTCCTCTCTAGGGCTCGCCTCCTCAACTTCCTCCTCCTACTCTGGTTTCAACGATACTGATTTTCGGAACCCTAAACCAAAACCAAAACCAAAACAAAAACAAAAAGATCGTAAACCTCCTCCTCCTCCTCCTCAAAATCCCCAAATTGATAAAAAAAACTCACCCAAACCTCAAACTTTTATAAACAAAAATGACAAATCACGAAAACCCATTTCAAAACCAGCACCAAAGCCTCCAATTTTATCACTTGATGGTGGTGAGGATGACAAGAACGGTAATAGTACAAGAAAATTTGACAAGTACAAGAACCTCCCGAAGTTACCTTTAGTGAAGGCAGGTGCATTGGGTGTGTGGCATGTGGACTTAATGGAATTGGAGAAAAAAGTGTTGGGTGAAGCAGGCAAAGGAAAGTTGGAAGTTAAAATGCGTCTGGGTGAATGGAAAGGTTTTGTGGAGAAGAAGAGAGAGTTGGGGGAGAGGTTGATGTGGCAGTATGGAAAGGATTATGAGCAGGGTCGAGGTCAAAAGGGGGATATTAAGATGTTGGTAGCTACTCAGAGGTCTGGGACTAATGCTGATAAAGTTTCGGCCTTTTCTGTGCTTATTGGGGATAATCCTGTTGCAAATTTGAGGTCACTTGATGCACTTTTAGGTATTTTGTTGAAATTTTTATGCTGTTTTTGTGTTGCTAATTCTCTTTCTTAACTTTTTTTTTATGCGTTTCTTTCATGATTCTTGTTGACGTTTAGAATTGGCTTTCACTGAAATACTATCAGAGAAGTTTCTCTTTGATCAGCTATAGGTATTATTTGGGTCTGACCTCTTATCGTAAGGAAATGGAATGTTTAAATCATTGTTGGTATTGAAGCCATAGCATTGCATTTCACTGTAGGCTAGCTTATGTGAACGAATTATGGTCTGAATTTTAGTAGATTAGTATGTAAAAAGATTACACTGTAACTAAATACAAAATACTTCTACTACGTTGAAATGTGATTTAGTTCTATGTTCTGAATGGATGGAATATTGGTTGCAGGAATGGTAACATCAAAAGTGGGAAAGCGGCATGCTCTAACAGGTTTTGAAGCATTGAAAGAGCTTTTTATTTCAAGGTTGCCATTTTGTCCTACTAATCTCTATCTCTTTTCTTGTACCTGCTCTATAGGAAGTTGTATGCGGTCTGCCCATGGCCGCTTGCCTCTATCTGTTAGTGGTCACTATTGGTTGTATTTGGAAATTTTTGAATTTCACACTGTTGGCACTTAGTGTATTCTGATTTCATGGTGAATCTATGAGGATGAGAAGTTTTGTCTCTTAGTTTGGTACTATCCTGATATATGATATCATATGATAAGAAGGTGTTCTTTTTTTCATAGTTTGCTATTTCAGTTTCTTCATTATGTTGTGTTATGTCATGCTGCTCACCAAATGGTGTACTAATCTGCCATTCACATCCCATAACCAGTTTGCTACCTGATCGTAAGTTGAAGACCCTTTTACAGAGGCCTCTAAATAGTGTTCCTGAGACAAAAGATGGTAATTCTCTTCTTCTTTTCTGGTACTGGGAGGACTGTTTAAAGCAGAGGTAGGCTTCTTTCTTGCTCTCATTAATCATTTGGAAATAGCACGCCTTCATCTATTTATTTATTACCTGCATTGACAATGCATCGCATGACTTATTTCAATCCTAATCAAACACACATTAATGTGTTAGGTATGAACGTTTTGTTTTTGCACTTGAGGAAGCATCAAGAGATATGCTACCTGCACTAAAAGATAAGGCATTGAAGGTTGATCTTCTCATTTAATCCTAAACTATTTGAGTTCATGAATAGATTTTTTGAAGTGTATAACATGATACAACATGCAATTTGAACAATTGTTCTCTTTGATTTTCCTTCTTTTTTTTTTCTTCCTAACAAGGAGAACTAATCACCATTTCTCTTTGATTTTACTTTCCTACAATATTGTAAGTTTCATCTTGGGGTATGTGAACATGATAATATTTAATTAACATTTACTTAGTTATTTTCTTACAGACGATGTATGCATTGTTGAAGAGCAAATCAGAGCAGGAGCGCAGATTGCTCTCTGCATTAGTTAACAAAGTAAGCAAGCATTTGATTCCACTTGTATATAGAATTGAATATATTTTCTTTGGAAGCGGCCTATCTGAATGTGTTATTCATGAAGCCATGGTTTGTAATCTTATGTCTGGATTATATTACAGCTAGGTGATCCCCAAAATAAAAGTGCATCCAATGCTGACTTTCACTTATCAAACCTTTTGTCTGACCACCCCAATATGAAGGTACAACTTTTAAATATAGCCACCTTTGTATATGTTGTTTTTATTATTTGGACTAAGAATTTATTTAGTGGACTTCTTTGGACCATTTTATTTTACAGGCTGTGGTGATTGATGAAGTGGACTCTTTTCTTTTTCGACCACATTTGGGATTACGATCAAAGTACCATGCTGTATGTCCAATTAATCATACTCTTTAATTTTTTGCTGCTTTTGAAATTGTTCATTTGACTCCTAGTATTGCTGCTATTGGATGTTGTAATATATATTGTGGTAGATTCTTTGGCAGCACCTTCCTAGGCCATAGTTAATACATTTATATGTGTCAGATAAATTTGTGTTTATAACATCTTGTTCTGTGATAGTCATTTTTCTTCTTCCTACTAATACCCATGGAAGGAAGGGAGAAAAAAAGGAATGAAGGCACTAGGTGGTTTTGATCAGGACCCCATTCTTATGTGGTAGCTGTGAAACCCATGTTTACTAGGGTTTGAAATTAGTAGAAAATTTGTATTCTATTAATTCATTTATAAATTTGTGTCAGCTGTCTTGGCAAATGATTTACATGTATTGTACTTGCATGTAATTGTTGTTATTTGAAATTTTCCAACCCATTTGGTAGTGTGTTTTTCTCTATGTTCTGACCAAGATGCTTAACTATAACTTTTTACTGCATGACACTCTTTTCTAGAATCTACATTTTGTTTTGAGTTCTGTAAGAGACATGTTTTGAACTCAAAGCTTAAGTAAAACTGTGCAGCTTGTTTGGTCTGGTTTAAATTGCTGACCTCATTCACCTTCTCTTAAACATATGCAGGTTAATTTTCTGAGCCAAATTCGTCTGGGTCATAGAGGCGATGGACCAAAAGTGGCAAAACGTCTGATAGATGTATACTTTGCACTGTTCAAGGTGTTAATAACTTTCATATCTGATGTGTTCTTTTTCCATTTGACCTCTCCTTTGTGAATAACATTGACAAACTACCATGACAGGTGTTGATAACTGAGGCAGGCAGCAGTAAAAAGAATGATAAAAACAGCAAGGCAGAGAGAAACACTTCTGGTTCTTCTAAGGAGACCGAAATGAAAAGTTCACCAGAATCCCACATTGAATTGGATTCACGGCTTCTATCTGCTCTGTTAACAGTTAGTATTAACAATTCTGATGTTTAGAGGGAAGTTTTTAATATACTAGAAGTCAAAATGAATGCAGACGTTTTTTTCAGAGTTCTCCAACATAGTTTTTTTTTCTTTTAAGGCAGCAGCTCTGGAACTTATGCATCTATTGTGTTGCAATCTTCTCAGGGTGTTAATAGAGCATTTCCTTATGTTTCAAGTGCTGAGGCTGATGACATTATTGAGGTCCAAACACCAACGATCTTCCAACTGGTAATCTCCTGGTCTACAGATTGCAAGAGAACTCCATTTAGTGCTGTAACATGGCTACTAATTGATTGGCAAAGGGCAATGGCAGGATTATTGTGTGCTTTAATATCTCTACATACACATGCTTGTGCAGGTTCACTCCAAGAATTTCAATGTGGGGATTCAGGCATTGATGCTTCTTGATAAAATCTCATCCAAGAATCAGATTGTCAGTGACCGGTTTTACCGTTCTTTGTACTCAAAACTCTTACTTCCAGCTGTCATGAATTCATCCAAGGCAAGTATTCTATGTTCTTTGCGAGGAGATGATGTTTATTTTCGCTTTCTTTATCAAACTTTTATTTGTACGTCCATTTGGTGCTTCTTCTTCTTGTTTTTTTTTTCCAAGAGAAAAAAATATTAAGGACTTCAATTCTGGATGAGTTGGGGTAACCTTTTATTTCCTTTTATATCATTAAACCATTCAAACTAGCTCATGGTGTTGAAGCAGGTTGGAATTGGTTTTTTCCAGTTCATGCCTATGATTTAAGTTGACCCTGAATCTGTCATTTTATTGCATTTCCCTTTTGTATGATTTGGACTTCAGGCAGAAATGTTTATTGGACTTCTTCTGAGAGCCATGAAAAGTGATGTAAATCTGAAGCGCGTTGCGGCCTTTTCAAAGCGACTATTGCAGGTTAATAATCTATCATTCTAGTTGGACCTAGCTATAAATGCTGATCAACTCCTTTTTGCTGACTTGCTGTTCCATTTCCCCATACAAGTTTATCATATAAGAGTCGGCATTAATTGCTTCACATATATTTCTGTTTTTTCTAGTAGGATGACAGAACAGGGCTTTAGGGTTCCTTATGGATGATGTTGAGGATTTATTTTAATCACTTGTTCATTTGAACATTCAAAAGTGCAAACTTTATTTTGAAATCTTTTTACAGTCTGATTTTTTTTTAGATCCTTACAGAAAAAAGTTTATAGGGACCAGTAGGTTTCTTTTCTCCGCTTTTTGGTAGTCTAGTACCTTTATTGGGATACGTTTGAAACAAAGATTGACCTTTGAAGCTTGAACAGGTTGCTCTGCAGCAGCCACCTCAGTATTCCTGCGGATGCCTATTTCTCCTCTCTGAAGTTCTCAAAGCACGGCCACCTTTATGGTAATATTGGTTTTATTTTCTCTTATCTTTTGTGTTACTAGTTTTTTATCAGGTTTTGCTAACTAGTTCTATCCTGCAGGAACATGGTACTCCAAAGCGAGTTAGTTGATGAAGATCTTGAACATTTTGAAGACATATTGGAAGAAACTGATAATGAACCTTCCACAACACACAAAAAAGAAGAGATTGGACTTGATTTAGTTGGAAATGGTGATAAGACCAACTCTGAAAGTGATTCTGCAGAAGAGGAAGATTATTCTCCAGCCTCTAGCTCTGAGGATGATGTTTCAGATGAAGAAGAGGAGTTGCTTATAGAAGACAGTTCAAAAGAACTTCAAGAATTGCAACCTCCATCTGATTGTAACGGTAACCAGCCACAAATAAATTCCACAGGGCCCTCTCTGCCTGGAGGATACGATCCACGCCACAGAGAACCTTCTTACTGGTATGTTGTCTTTTCTACAATTGAATGGGTGCATTTGGGTTTTGCATCAAATAATATGTATGTGCAGATGTTTTTTTATTGCTTTGGATAAAAAAGAACAAAAAGTAATTATGGACCCCTATACCTTCCCTATAATTGGCCCTTTGGTTTAGATAGCGTGTTCTCTCTGTTTATTTTATTTTCGTATGAATCAACAGCAATGCAGATCGTGCAAGCTGGTGGGAGCTGATGGTTCTTGCTTCACATGCGCATCCATCTGTTGCTACCATGGCGGGGACCCTTCTGTCTGGTGCTAATATTGTTTACAATGGAAATCCATTGAATGATCTATCACTTACTTCTTTTCTAGACAAGTTCATGGAGAAGAAACCCAAGCAGACTGCATGGCATGGTGGCTCCCAAATTGAACCAGCCAAAAAGGTTAGCCATCTTTATTGGCACTTACCTTTTTTTATTTTTTTTTCTCATAATGAATTTCAGACTTCTCTATCATTTAGTGTGTGAAGCGTTGTTCTTTTGTCAGCGGCAACATAAACATCTGTCCTTTTTATCATTGCTGACTTGTTTCATTCTTTTTTAGCTTGACATGAACACGCATTTGATCGGGTCGGAAATTCTTTCATTGGCTGAAGTAGATGTGCCTCCAGAAGATCTTGTCTTCCACAAGTTTTATGTGAATAAAATGAATACCTCAAAGCCGAAGAAGAAGAAGAAGAAGAAGGCAGCTGAAGAAGCTGCTGAAGACTTGTTTGATGTGGGTGATGGTGATGATGAAGTGGTTGGTGATGATGAGAGCGATAATGAAGAGATTGATGACCTTTTAGACTCTGCCAATCTTACTCTTGAAGCAGAAAACGAATATGACTATGATGATTTGGACCAAATTGTTGACGAAGATGACGATGACTTGGTTCGTAATGTGGATGATGCAGAGGAGGATGCCACTACTGATGGAGAAGATTTTGACACCATTGTTGACAGTGACGATGACGCTGTTGATGTTGGGGATGCAGATGATGGTACTGATGAGGATGGGTTTGACCAACGTAAAAGAAAACGCAAGTCCAAAGGGAAGCCAGGTGCTTCCCCATTTGCAAGTCTCGAGGATTACGAGCATATGTTGAACGAAGATAGTTCAAAAATAAATAAATCAGAAAAAAGGAAGTCAAAGTCACGAAAGAAGAGAAAATCATCTGAATGAGTCCTCTGATAACAATGCTGGATCTGTGCTGCCTAGTGCATTAAAATTCCCATTAAACCATAGGAGAGTTTGTTGTATTGTAAGTGCATTTTTTCTCGTTCGCTTCAGAACTGATTGTTACTTAGGCAATTTTGGTAGATCAAGCAGCATGACCAACTTCGGCACCGCAGGATTATTGGTTTTAAACGTATTACGTGATAATTTTAAGCATTTTTGCGTGAATGCGCAATTCTTTGCTGTTGCAAGTTCTCTGAAATGCCCATTTCTCTCCTCCCCTGTACTCTGGGATGCATTGATTGGCTTGTTCTTAGTTTCAAGAAATATGCTGATTTTTGTATCTATATTTCATCTACTTCCCTATCTTGTTCTTTGCTCTGCCTAGGCTGTTTATCCTCCGCTGAGAATAAAAAAATTTGGTTACTGCTCTACCTATGCCTGGTTCCTTTGGCTTTCAAGCTGCAGAATTCAAGATTGGTCCATAAACTACATAACATTGCAAACAAAACAAGGTACCCACCACCATTACATAAATCGGCTTCGAGTCTTGACACAGCACTGGTTCCTTACATAATCCTCATCCTCGTTTACCATAACTCTGAACCTGAGGTACTCGCAAACTAATCTACAACGAGACAATACAAACTTAACAAAACTCTAAGAGCTCATTAACTTAAATCTTCCACAAAATGTTCTTCAGTCTTTAATCCCCTTAATTTCAAGAGATAGAAACTTCAACTGTCTTGGGCTTTGCTGGTGGAGGATGCTTCTCAACAACCACAGTCAAAACCCCATTTTCGCATTTAGCAGTGATGGCAGACACATTGGCATTTTCGGGCAACCGGAACTTCCTCATCAACTTCTGAGGTGCCTTCCTTTCAAGCCTGATGTACTTGCAGCCTTCCTCATCACCATCTTCGCGTTTCCTCTTCCCTCCACTTCTAATGACCAGACTATTCTCATCTTCAACGGTCACCTGTAGTCAATAAAACTGATCACCAACAGAAAATTTCAATTTGAGAATTGCAGGAGAAACAAATTTGAAAATTAATATATATACCTGGATGTCAGACTTGGACAAGCCAGGGACATCCATGTAGAAAATGTACTCTTTGGCAGCATCCAAAATGTCGACAGGAATATGATTGCTCCTGTTTTCATTGGGTGTATGATGATCACCGGGCCGCGGATGAAGCATCAACTTCTCAATGTTCTCAGGGATGCTGAACAGATGATTCACTGCATCAAACACATTTGAATCTGCTACTCGGCTCATCTTCTCAAAAAATGCTTCTTACTAGTAGTAAATTAAGGGTGCTTGTTTCTTGGGAAAGTTAGACAAGAAAACGAAAGAGGGCACGGCACTAACCACAGTTATCTGGATGGCTGACTTGATTGATTGGTTACCGAGAAAATTTTGGAATAAACCTGTTACCATATAAAAGCAGAGAGGAAACTTCGAGACTGAAGAGGGGAAGAGTCTGGAAAAATCCCAAGTCCTTGGTAACCACGTGGCCTCTTTAGCGGATAAAGTTGAATCTCCTTGTCCACTGATTTTATTGACGTGGCAGCAATTGAGGAACCACGTCTCCATGCGATCGGAGTGTTATTTATCTGTCGTTAATTTTACTGTAACCTGTTTTGTGAGCCACGTGATGTTGCACTTCACCTGCATGTCGTGGCTGAATTTAATGTTTTGAACAAACAAATATTTTCAAAGTGTATATATATTAACTAAATTAATTAAAACAAAACGATAACTTACTATTTCATATACTATTTACATAATAATATTTTTATATCTATTATTTTTCTTACACTTTGATCTTTGATTTTTGTCAATGCCGCTTTCATTCTATTAACTTTAATTAAATAAACTAAAACAAAACGATATGTTACTATTTTATATATGGTTCATAGACTAATATTTCACTATTTATTGATTTTTTATACTTTAGTCCTTGATCTTTGTCAATATATCTCGTTGATCTATATCTTCATTTTATTTTCTATTTTGGTCCCTAGATGAGAGAGAAGGAAAGAGGAAAGAGAGAGACAGGAGGAGAGAGAGAGATCGTCGATCAAGCTTATTTAGGCCGTTTTGGCCGACGAAAATCCACTAGATTTTTTTATCTTTGAGAGATGAGTTTGTCTATGGTTGTTTCTAGCCATGAAACAATTAGAGGAGGTAAATCGGAGCCAAAAAAAAAACAATGTTCCGATTCGATTGTATAATTTTTTTTGTTTTTGTGTACATTAAAATATTTTTTAAAATTTTAGATATGTTTATTGACTTTATTCTGATCATTTAAAGGTGTTTGTGAAAAAAATGATACCGAAATTCAATTTCTAGGAGTTTGAAACTTGATCCCCAACTTTCCAACGACCTCAATCGTCGGAAGTTGCAACCTTTTTTTTTTTTTTTTCAAGCAGCAACCCTAGCTTGACGTGAAGGCCTGGCCTCAAGAGCCGGCTTGGTTTTTTTCTTTCCCCCTTTCGTTTCGGCTTAGGAAACAGACTTTTTTTTTTTTTTTTTTTATCATTAAAATTTTCCGATCTTTGATTTTTATCCTATCGAAATATTAAAATTTTATTATATATGATTTTTATCTTTATAATTAATTTTTTTTTTACTTTTAGTAAAAATTTACGTTCTTTTTTTATTTCAGTTATTAAAATTTTCTTATATTTGATTTTTATCCTTACTATACTAAAACTAAATAAAGTTTACTATCCTAAGGTTATTTTTTTTTACTAAAATTTTCTATCTATTCTAATTTCTGTTTTGTTATTTTTTCTTTGTTTTTTTGTCATTAAATTTAGTATAATTTTTTTTAGTCTTTTTTTTTGTAATTGTTTTTATTTGATCATTAAATTTTTTTTCCTACAAGGAACTATTTTTTTACTTTTAGTAAAAAAATTTATTATATTTTGGTTTTTGTTTTATGATCTTTAATTTATTTTGATCATTAAACTTTTATTATATTTAATTATTATTCATTTTACATTAAAATTAAATACATTTTAACTATGCTAAGTTTTTTTTTTAATTTTTAGTGAAATTTTTTTTTGTTTTGATTCTTATTTTATTAATTTTTTTTATTTTAGTTATTAAAATTCGATAATGTTTACTTTTGTTCTCGCCTTATGCATAATAAAAAATTTTTAGTCTTATTATTTATAAGTATTTTTTGTATGCTTTTAGTGAAAGTTTTTTTAATTTATTTTTTATTATTTTTATAATCTTTACTTTGTTTTAATCATTTAATTTTTATCATGTGTAATTTTATCTCTATTTTCTTTGCCAAATTCTCGATTTGATAGACTTTTTTGTCTTTTTGTTTTGAGTGGTCTCTCTCTCATGAACAAATTACGGATGAATAATATATGATAAAAATTAATCATCAAAAATTGAAAAAACTACCACATTATTAATTTAATTATCGGCTATTAATAAAATACATGTTTATATAAAAAAATATCGAATTAGCAACATTATATTACTCAACTTTACAAACTTTTCATTTAGCTAATAATGTAGCAAATTATGAAACATATGTTTTAGTTTATTTAAAAAAATTATTTTCGCATGATATTATCAAATAATGATTTGTAAATATTAAATTTTATATTAATGAATGTATAAGAATGTTATATAACTCATCCCGTGGCAACGCCCGGGATATATGCCAATATATATATATTGAAACAGAAAAAAAATATCTATCTCTTCTCTTTGTATTTCTGTCTTTCCTTGGGCCAGCTGCAACTTTTTAAATTTTTGGGCTATAATCTATGGGTCTAATTGCTCAGGCTTGAATCTAGTTTGGGCCTGTCTAAATAGGTTGCCTCTAATTGACTGGTCGTACCGTCGGGCATGGTGTCTTGAGTTTGGCCTATCCTCCATTTTTCCGATTCTTTTTTCTTCTCAGAAAAAGAAAAGCTTTTCGTGTCCTTTAATCCATTTCTACAGTGCACATAATAGCCCTCTTCAAGCCCCGTCCTCATACAATACGCATGCCACGTGAAACCTAATACTTGAACAGGATTTGATCTCATGATTCCCCACAGCACAATATCTATGTTCCTCAGTATATGCAACATTGGAATCATCGTGCAAGTATATGTTTGATTTTATGTCTGCTTTAAAGCTCTCAAACAGCATATATATATATATATATGCTTTTAATTCTTTGTTATATATATGCTCTTCTTCTTTGTTATTTTATATGTATATACACATAGTGAGCTTGTTAAACATGATCGGAAAGTGATTAGCAACTCATATCTTGGGTTGCACATGATATAAACCACCCTGACCTCTACATTGATCCTAGATGCTTCTCCTTAAGCACAAGATCCACACCCCAAATCTTGTTTAAATCTCATAAAGCACATGTCTAATTAAATCCCATAAATCTTACTGAAGATACAGCAGTGTGCCTGGTTAATCGTGGCCGATCATTTAATAGCATTAAATTTACTACGTACCCTATGCATTACCTTCCAGTTAAGAACAGTTTGTCTTCATATTTCATAAATAGTGGGATATGGAACTGGCGATGCCAACCAAGGGTACTAATTTCTTGAGACGAGGTCCAACCAACTGCACCCACCCCACAATTTTTATTTATTTATTTATATAAATTTACCAAGTTATATGTGCAATGGTGTAACTTGATCTTGGGACCTCCTTAAGTCTTAATCATTTGTTCTAATTATTATAAATTAAATGAATTGAGGATGCTTTAACTAGTTAGTGAGAGCATATATATATATATATATATATATATATATATTAATGAAACTGCCCACGTTAGGGATCATAACATGGAGAGTTAAACTAATTAAATTCAAACTTTTATTTTCACACGAAAAAAAAAAACATAATTATATATATATATTAATCTTTTCAATTTTTTTTTTTTTTTTTAATGATCGTCCCATGACCATGAGACGAAAGCTTGGTTGTTGTCCAAGGAAAATTGGTGCATTTGCTACTCGCTGGGCTAGTTTACCTGTCCCATTTAATTAGCACAATATATCCAACAAAAACGAATTGGCCATAGAAATGCAAATCTATGGAACCAATCTCGAAAGCTGATTTAGACGCATGGGGAGAAATGGTACAGACTACAGAGGTTCACACAATTTAGGTTTTTTGTTACATCACTTATATAATCATCATGTATAACTTCACTAGAATATATTTTATTTTATGTAGATGAAAAGAAACATTTTACTTATTTTTTCATAAAAAAAAAGTGAGGTAATAAATAAAAATTTGAAGTCTTGAACGAATCTGACAGAAAGATTAGTCCGTAGAGGTACCATTGATTGGACCGCTAGCTTGTTGCTGTAAGTTGTAACTATTGCAGTTTGCAGTAACCATGAACCCTTTGGACAACAAGAAATTGCCCCTTCATCTCTGTTTTCATTAATTTCTTTTTACTTATCATTCAGCTTTGCTAGTACGTAGTATTTAATGCCTCCAAGTTCGTCAACCTCACAGTCTACGATCATAATTTACTTGCTAGTGTTGGTATGAAAATTTTCAAATAAAAATATATGAGAAATACGGTATAAATTTTCTCCTGTAACTGAATTTTAGTAAGAGTGACAGTGCCAGACCTGGTTAATTTATATATTTTATTTATTTTCTAATAATTCAATACTCCTTTTTCCGCGGTGAATCAATGTAAGGGAAAATAAATTTAACTACAGTAACAATATCGTGATGGCTAGAAAAAAAAAATTGACAATCGAGATATTATATGATGAAGACAAAAATTGAGACAGAGGTTTAATTAAGTTCCAAATAATTAGTCAGTTTCGTTTTTAATTATTTGATTTCCAACTAACAAGCATGTAAAGCCAATCCATAGAGGCTAGAGCTCTAGCGTTACGTACCGTGTGAAGAAGACAAAATGATATGATATGATAAAGGTTAGTACGTGCTAATTTGTAACGCCTAGCTAAGAAGATTCCCGATTTGTTATACATCTTCCTTCGCTTGCTGTCCTTAAAAACAGAACCAGTTGGTGCGTGTTACAGATGGGAACCATTGGCTGCTTACCAACAAACAGCTCTCTCTTGCTTCAGCCGCTAATCATACACATACATGACAAATTAACACAGATTAAGAGCCGGCACCCTCCTCTGCTCGTTAATTATCGATCTAACTTTCTATTATCCAATTGCCCCTAATTTGGGGTAGCATCAGACATTATGAGAAAAGGGCAATCAGATATATGATTTTGATGCATCCTATATTGAAATTGAAATTTGAAAAGCAGATACAAAATCGTAATTCACGTGGTCATTCGTAGCAAAATCTCAAAGCGAAAAAAGCACAAATTAAGAGGGACATTATATAGCCAGGGATGTGCAAATAGAAAAGGAAAGACGAAGATCATTTGTCAACCAAAAACACCCACCAAAGGCCAAGACAAAGCAGCAACTGGTTTTGCAACCTCTTACAAATATATATCTCTCTTAGCTGGTATGTGTCAAACAGTGGGCCATGCACGTGTATGCCCGCTCTCCTTCTCTCTCCTCCACCCCTTCTTTTATATATATAGGAACCTTCCCTTCTCTTTCTCCTCGCCCATTCCTCTTACCGAAAAAAAGAAGAAAAAAACATTTATTTTTCTCTGATCTCCAAATTTCTCTGCCTTTCTATTTCTTTACATACGAAGAAAAGAAAAGCCTACGCATATATATATATATATATATGGCAAAGATTTCCAAGCTAAAAAAGCTCAAGTCAGCAATGAAGAGATTGCCATCTTTCACCAAGATGGTCCGCACAAACAGCTCCATTGCTGCTGCCGACAATGACCATGATTATGATCAGTCTGATGATCATCTCGATGGCAACATTTCAAAGGAACTTCATGCGGTTTATGTTGGAAAGTCAAGGAGGAGGTATCTTTTAAGCTCTGATGTCATTTGTCATCCTCTTTTTCAAGGGCTAATAGACAGGTCAGGCGCTGGTTTTGGTGATGAAGATAATCAAGCAGTTGTTGTTGCTTGTGAGGTTGTTTTGTTTGAGCACTTGTTGTGGATGCTTCAGAGTGGTGGCTCTCAGTTGGGGTCCACGGAGGAACTTGCTGAATTCTATTACACTGCTGATAACTACGACGGTGATGGTAAAAGTTTGCCGGAGTAAAAGATCTTAGAGGCATGCAAAGGAAAACAATCATGTACTGTACTAATTGAACTAAATTAATTGTGAGGATTAACCCATTTGTTTTAAGGGTGGATTCTGTTGTTAAAGAAGTCGATTAGCTAAGCTAATCCTTTTTCTTTTATTATCAATTAATATGGTAAATCAAAACTGTTATTTATACAGTTAATTGCTAAGTGCATTTGCGGTGAGCTACATTTTTTATTTTTTATTTTAAATTCTTAAAAGTATACAGCAAGATCATGAATGAAAGTTTTCCTCTCTTGCGCTTCGATAAGCCGCCAATCATCTCCCTCTCTTGTATTTTTATCTTTATACTTGAAAAAGGCAGCATAAAATCAACTAGATCACGATACGTAGTGCCAGGGAAATATGTATTGTACAGGTTGGCAATCAAATCAATTTGGATCTCCTTCTAGTTAGTACTTACTGTGTGTGTCAGTGTTCTTTTTTTATTATTAAAAAAAAAAACTGTGAAATTCATAGCTCTCTTCAAGATCTTTAGAAGCCATGAGCTGAGCAAATTGTTTCAATGGTGGGGTACATTTGCACCCTTTTATGTGATACCAAACTTCTGCTATCCTTTTCTCCAGAACTAGTGCATATATAAATTAAAACTATGGATGTGATAGTGTATATGTTTTTTTGCCACTTTATTGGTTCCCCTCGTTCTGGTCCTGTTACTGGAAACGAATCTTTTTTAGATTTCTCATTGAATAGAGTTTTAGAATCTTTTTCATCATGGAAAATTAAATTCTTCCCACGACGTATATATATAACTGCATATTAATTAATTTAGCTTCTTAGAGATCCGTTCATTAACTAGTACTGCTATGGCAACTGCACCATATATAATGTATTAAATGTCCTAATCCTAATCAATATTTTCCTTCTGGTTTTAGATAGATTTAGGGTTGTTTGACATGATTTATGAAAAAATAAATTTTGAGTTTGAGTTTATTTTTTTATAAATAATTTATAACAAAAATAGGTTAAGTTAGAAGTAGGTTTAGTATAAAATAACTTAGAAATTATTTTGAAGTTATTTTTTCACGAAGGTCAAATTGTTAATATTGTTATTTTCATCAAGTCTTTTATTTATTGATTTATTTATTACAATCAACTTTAATGTTTGTAATTAAGGCTTGAGTTTTATGGAAATTATAAAAATAATATACTATTTTTAAGTATTAATAAAATTACATTTTTTTTATAAAAATAATTAAGACAGTGAGACTCATGTTGTTTAAGTGTTTACGTTTACTCCTCAACATAAAGAAAATGTGGACAATAATTTTAGGTTATATATATAGACCTTTTTGTTTTATTCGAAGATAACAAGTATTTTTGAATAAGTTAATTAAAATTTAGTTTATATATATATATATATATATATATATATTTAAGAGTATACCCTTCACATCGATTTGATGCATTTAGAAAAAATAAAAAATGAATTTCTTTGATTACTAACCTTAAAATTCGAATTCAATCTCTAAAGATTATTTATAGGTAGACTATATATATATATAGTTCATTTAGGTTTGCTTTCAGCCTTTCACTACAACTGTAGACAAAAACTGGAAAACAAATGTTACATTGATTACTCTATAAATAAAATTATGACCATAGATAGGCTCATCCCAAATTACACCAAAAGATTTGTAAGTAATTATTAGTCTTAGGAAGCAAGGGCAAGAGGGCAAGACCAAAAACGTGGACCAAAAGTAGTAAAAAGTTAACTAAAGTCGTTGGGTGTATGCCGGAGCCGGACTCCATTCATGTTATTATTAAGATGAAGTATTGATCTAAATTGAAAATGATTCTAATTATTTAAGTAAATGATTTTAAATTCGAATTTTTATACATATTGAAAACTTTACGGATAGCTATTAAATGATCATTTAATCTAAAAACTTAAGTTTTTAGATAAGATGATTATTTAAAATTAGTATCAAAGCTTAGTTGACGAATCAATGTGTATATGTGCAAATTTCAAGTCTAAATATTGGAGCTTTCACTTGAAGGGATTTGTTAGAAAATAGTATAAATTATATTTTAAAATCTTACCTAACGACTTAAACTTTTGGGTGAGATAGTCCAGTGATATGATATCGGAATCATTTGAAATTGTCAATACACTATAACGGATCATCTCATCTTTGATACCATATTGAAGAAGCATCTCACCTAAAAACCTAAACTTTTAAGTAATAAATTTTTAGGTGAGATGATCTTTTAATATAGTATTAAAACCTTTATAACCTAATTGTCAAGTGAATGGGCTTTCACTTGAGGGTCACTTGACGAGGTTATGTTAAAGAATAATATAAATCATTTTTTGAAACCTCACCTAACAATGCATAAGCTTTTTTTAACTTAAGATTTTGAGTGAAATGATCATTTGATAATAGATGTTTTCGTCTTGTATGTTTAATATAATAATGAAATATTAATTTGTATCTTTAGATATCTTGAAGGATTAAAAAAAAAAAAAGAAAGAAGGAAGGAAAGGGAGAGAAAAGATAAAATATAAAAGGGAAATGATTGGGTAGTTAGAGATGCTTCCTTTAGCATGTTCACAAGCATTGACAATTCATTATTATATAGTACTGGATGATGGATGTTATTATATGTGGTTGGTCATGCTTTTTGAAACAAATTGCCTTACTTCTTCACAAAGACTGACCAACAAGTCACACAATGTTTGTGTCTGAAGCTTCTAATATTGTAAAGGATTAATAATCAACCTGTCCTCATGTGTGTCTATATATATATATATATATATATTCACACTTGTTTTTTAAGGAAAAAAAAATCAATTGATCAGTCCTCGTATTTCCATTCATATATCATCCAATACGTATATTATTTTCTTCTTCTTTTTTATGTTGGAGATTGTGTCCCTCACAAGTCAAAACACCAAATGAAAATTTAATTTTGAAATTCTCGAAAAAAAATAGAAAATCGTATAAAATTTTAAAAAATAAGAAATAAATGAAAAACTTGAAAAACCTGCACCATTGCAATTTGCAAAACTTATATTACCGTCATATATAGTAACATATTTTGATTCATTGCCATTGAGTTGTGAACATGATTTTATTTTATTATTTTTTCATTTCTTTTTGGATTTTAGATGGTTTTTTTCCTTCTATTTTTAGAGTTTCTGTAGGTTCTCTCTTTTTTACAAATTAATTTTCATTTTTTTTAGGTTTTTAAAATTATTATTTTCCAGTGTTTTGAGAAGTATTTTGATCATAATACGTGACAAAAGAACCTACTAAAAAAAATAGGTGAATATATTAAAATTAAATTAATCTTCTTTTTTTCTCCTGAGAAACATATGATCAGATCATGTCATTAATATATAAGGACACATTCCGTGATAAAAATTAATGTCATTTTTTTTTCATCGCATAAAATTATAATCATTAAAACAATTAGATTTTACCATTTGGGTTTTGGACCAAGTCGTATAAGGTTATTGGATGTGACCTAGGTCCCAGATCATTAAATCGTGGGTCAATTCATCTGGTCACCGGAATGATGTGGTGAGTCAATTATGGTAATAAATCATATATATAATATTAAAACTAAATGGTATCATATTTATTGGTACGTCTTAATTATGAATTGACGGATAAAAAATTACTAAAGTTTGAATCCTACTCTTAGGTAATTTGGTGTTTTCTTTTGTAAAAATTAATCTTTGATTTGATTAGATTAGATAAGTTCGAGTAGGTTTATCAATTTTAAACATATCAATTTTTTATCTGATTCAATTTCAAACTCAACTAGAGTTAGGTTTCGATATTTTTTAATCAACTCATAAAATTGGATTATATTAAAAAAAATTTTAAATAATAGTGGCACACCTTCGAGTATCTTTCTCGGGTTCAGCTCTCTTCTAATTTAAAAATTCACTGTTTTACTAAAGTTTTGCATCACTTTTCTTAAAAAAACAGTCCAATACTTATTTATAATCCATGTTATTAATGTCTCTTAATCTATTTAAGCCTGTAACATAGTTGCTGTTAGCATTTTTTTTTTTTTTCACAACAAATCAGTTTTGGCTAATTACTTCTACACTCGAATTCACAATAAATCATGAATATGCAAATTGAGATTTTTATCATGTTTCTTCACAACAAGCTACTATTTTGGTAATTACTTCTCCACTCAAATTGAGATTTTTATAATTCCAGAGAACGAAAGATGAAAGAAAAACTTTCCCTCTTGCACACACTTAACAAGCAAATATACACTTTGCTCCTTTATTTTCTTTTTCAACTTCACAATAATCCTTTTGTCAATTTAAGCGAAAATGACTCTTAAACTGAACCTATATAACACACACCAAACATTCAAACACAAATAAAAAATTGTGTTCCATCTGGTAGGGTGTTCTTTTCAATAATCAATTCTATAGAAGAAATATACAAGGCCACGGGTTGAAACCAACTCGCCACAATAAATATTTACATATATAATATATCGCCAACAAATCCTGTTTCTTTCAATTTCCTAGGAAGATTCTTTTAAAATGGTTAAGCCAATTGACCGGGCAATGGAAAGGAAAAGAAGAACGATGAAGCCCTTTTTTTTTCTTCCTAATTAAATTGAATGTATATAGCAGTTGACTGAAAATTAAAAGAAGAAAAACAGGAAGAGTTGTACCCCACATCATTTAAAAATAAGATCTACTAGTATAATCGTATTAGGCCCAGTTTTTAAGGAACTGGAAAACATATTACACCACAGTCGCAGTACTAAATATCCCCCTCCCGCCCTCTTGTTTAAAGCGTCTTCATTTATCCTAAAGTCAATTTTTTAAAATGATTGTCTCTGATTTGTACATTTAATTAAATAGTGAAAGATTACTTTATATTTTTAAATCTAAAATACTCTAAGGATTGAAAAAAAATATATATACTAGAGGGCGAGAGCTGGAGTCATCCTGAGTTTATATGTTTAGCATGCCCCTGGTGCAGCAAGAAGTCTTTTTACATCTGGTATTCCCTCTAATTAACTAATATTTAAGCATCAACATATCCAATCATGAGCTTTTAGTGAACCAAAAACAATTAGATTTTCAGAAGGATAGGATTACCTAGAATTCTCAGCACTAGTCATCTTTATGATTTGTATTAATTATCATCGATTTAGTAAATGCTGAAAATTACAATCAAAATAATGCCCCATCTGCACGCTGTACGGAACATCGGTCCAATAAATAACCTGGGTATTGTTAATACAAAGATGCAAGTCATCATTTTCATTGTATGCAGATGTCAAAGGTGAAAACGACCCCTTCTGTGCAATGAAAGCTGAGACGCAAAGCTCAATCAATTGTCGAAGAGGCATGGGGTTGTGCTGTCTCATTTCCAGTTGCTAAGAATACGATGTTAATTAATACAAGGGCTCAAAGAACCAGGAGTTGGCGGTCGATAATCGATGTGCTCTATAGCATGTTTACCATGGGCCTAGCCCACAGGGTCCGCTTCGTGCCACCTAGTTGGCAACAAAACTCAGGACAGAAGTTGTGTATATTGCGCAACTTGTCGAAACTGTTGGGTTGTACGTTTGTGCACTGTTTTTAGGTTCATGAACTTGAAAATCGTTCGTGCACTATTTTTAGGTTGGACGCATGTTCTTCAAAATGACAGCTAGGGGTCTGCCAGCTGCAACCTTTGGTAAGCTGTCAAGGAGTCTTATTTTTTGTTCATATTTGCTTAATGGTCTCCTTCATATGTCTAGATGCCTATTTGCATCAAATCTCAATCGATCACTACTGCAATTAGGCACGACTTTGGGACAAAAGATTTGTGATCTAATAGTGCACTTGGACGTGAGATTTTCTTCGATTTCGTATCAGCCATAATTTAGTTGTAACCCAACTCTTGAAATAATCGACTAGCTACTTGCATGCCTGACACCGGTTTCTAAGCTAGGGGTACGGGATCTCATTTTCGTATCATGTATGATGCTCTTTTTTGGCTAATAGATTGATTGATGAAATTAATAAACGCCTAATGCCCTTTTGCTTGGAGTCACAAAAATTACTCTAATTCCATTCAGGGCTCCCCACTAATTAGCAACTGATGATTCAGATAATCCACCGAACCGGATACTGATTAGCACTAAATCCCCTAAGCTGTTTCAATTAAGCAATTCATCAAATTACCTAAAATCTGAAAAAAAAAAAATGAGGACTAAGCTAAGCTGATTACCGATTCTTGTCTAGCTGCTTGCTCAAAATTGTTCTTCAATTTTACCAATCTAACCAAGAGTTGATAAAAGTAAAACAAATAATCCTACAAAACATATAAACCCAAAAGGAATCTATACATGTACACAATATCAGACCAGAACTACCCATTTAATTACAGTGCATGATATCATTCAATTATCCCCAAACGAGCTAATTGTATCTGGCGGCAATATATCCAGAGATACTTTAGATGGATTTAACCCGAATGACCTCTCCCTTAGCCCTAGTAATCATCCACTCCTCGAAATCCTTTGCTTCATATGCAATCCTCAGAATGCCTTCGTTATCAAAACCATATTCTTCAGCTGATTTATAGAGAAGCTCCGAAAAATCTGCATCCCCAAGTGCTTTTGTATGAACAATGAAGCGCCTAGTATCATTGTTAAACCCTACGCAAACAGGAACATAACCTTTAGGTGGCAACGGAGTACTATTACGTCCCAGTCTCTTAACTCCTCCAGCTCCAATTAGTTTGCTCAACTTGCTAGCTCTCACTCCCATTGCCGAAATCTCTCTGCAGTACTTTCTGATTCTTGTAATTAGATATAAAGACATGCACTTTTCTCTCTTAAGCCTACTTGCTAAATGTTAATATTACTGATATTTTTTTGCCATCTAAGCGAAAGAGACAATGTTAATAATTCATTTAATAAAAGCTACATGCCGTGACCACAAAGTTGATCATACGCATGAATCGATTATTTTTTGTTAATTTATAGCTACCACTAGTTTATGATATAATCTTTGTACTTGTCCTGATCAAAGTTACCAGAGAATTTCAACCTATAAGATGATAAAAAATGAGAGAACAAGAGGATGTTTTATATATTAATTACCAAGGCAAGGAACTTATAGCTAGATTTAGGTTTGTCATTCATCATACTTGCAAGTCATTTTTAATTTGTGATCGACAGCTTTGAGAACATGATCTTGCCCTAAATTAGGCGTAAAATTTTTAAAATGGTTTACATATTGCTGATAGCCTGACAAATCACCAATCTAAAATTCAAAATAATTTCAACGTTTCTGATAACCATTGTCCCGTTGGGTAAAACAAATTTCCAAAGGGTTTTAATGCTCACGTGACATATAGCTTCGTCTTTGCTTGTTCATATTGAGACGAGTACTTATTTCGTGGTTCAAATACATGTTAATAATTTAACACTAAAGCTGGCTAGGGTCCATGGAAAAATTTGATTTATCTGCATGATTATGACGTCTCACCTTCTTTTGTTTCATTCTTAAGAAAAAATCATTTTTCCAACTAAATTAAAAATAAAAAAATAAACATTATGGAGCACAAGAGGGCCAAAAGCATATATATACAAGTACATTACTAATAAACTAAAGAAAAACGCTCATTTATTATAGCGTTACTATTTGAAACATTGTACATGCTCTCGTAATTCACTATTTATCATCTTACAATTCATTGTTACTTTCACTATTTATAGTTTTTTTTTACACTTTGATCCTTAATATTTTTGAAAGCATTTTTCAATCCACATGTTCATTTACTCATCCATTTTGATCTCTAGGTAGAGAGAAAAGGCTAAGAAGAAGAGAGAGACAGGAGGAGAGAAAGATAGCCGGCCAAGCTCATTTAGGTCATTCCGGTCGACGAAAGTTCACTAGATTTGTTTATCTTTGATAGATGAGTTTGTCTATAGTGGTTTTAAGCCATTAAACAATTAGAGGAGGTAGATCGAAGCGAAAAAAGAAAAAAAAATCCAATTTGATTTTGTGTTTTTCTTTATTTTTGTGTGTATTAAAATGATTTTTAAGGTTTTAGATATGTTTATTTGCTTTATTTTGGTAATTTAGAGGTGTTTGGGAAAAAAATGCCGAAATTCAATTTCTAGGGGTCCGAAAGTTGATTTCCAATTTTTCGATAAACTTTCAACGACCTCGGGTTCATCGGAAGTTACGGGTTTTTTTTTTTTTCGGCAAGCAAGGCTAGCGTGTGGGCTTGCCATTCGTACGCCGACCCGCCTTCACAGAGCCGACCACTCCCGGGTGGCCTAGCCTCCTTCACATTTTTTTTTTCATGTGCAACCTGGTTGCATAAACCAACCAGTGCAACGAGGCCCCCCCCCCTCTCTCTCTCCTCTCTCTCTCTCTCCATATATATATATATATATATATATATATATATATATATAAGAAGAAAATAATTATTAAGAAAAAAGGTCTACTAAACAAAAAAATATAAAAAATAAATCGTTATTTTTTTAGCTTTCCATATATATATATATATATATATATATATTACTTTTATTTTTAAATTAATTTTTTTAATTACTTATTTCTTATTAAAATTCACATAAAAATAATTATTTGTTAATAATTTTATTTTTTTAATAGATGAATTTTGAAATAAAATTTTAGAACTTTAGTGTTTTATATTTTAAATATATCATTATAATTTATACCATGTTTGTTTTTACTTTTTAAATGAATTTTTTTTGTTGATTATTTTTATTATTTAAATTTTTTTATTTTAATCTGTCATTCTTTTAAAATTCTTATCCATTTAATTTCAAATTACATTAAAAAAATTAAAATATTTTTTTTATCTTTGATTTCATATATTTTTATACATTCACACAATAAAACAAACTATCAAACTAAAATATTTTTTCTAAATGATTTTGTACATTTTGTCTTACTCGTAGCATAGCGTAGGTAAAAAACCTAGTTAAAACTAATTTGTACTCCTCATCCTTTTTTTTTTTTTTTTTTTGGGATAGATCTAGTTGTCATGTTAAAAGGACATGAATTTTTATTCTTTTATTAGAATGGAAAGCCAAAAGAAAATGGTTAATTATTTTAACCTTGTAGATCGAGACACCAAAATTAAAAAACGAAAAATCAAAGGTAAAAATTTCGGAAGCTCATTTACCAATTAGTCCAGCATCAAAAGTCGTACGATAATCTAGCTCCAGCCTTGGAATAGAGAATACCAAGTCCAGCTCCAGCAAACCCCCAAACTTTCAGAGTGGGGAAAAAAAAAAAAAAAACAATAACTTTGGTATTTCTAAAGTTAAACAGCAAGGCATTGCCATTTAATGCATGGAGTGGTTTTGTATTTCACCATATCCAATTATAGTTTAATTGGTTATTATGTAACACAGTTACAATTAAAATTTATTAGAAAATAAAATATATGTTTCATGAAAAATAAAAAAGGTTTCAGAAGTAAAAGAAAAAAGTTTCATAAGTATGCAATGCTCCGTTATAAAAAGATATTGACAAACACTCGGACAATGTCAACAAGCTATCAATATATAAGATTTTTTTCATTGATTTGTTTATTGGAAAAATAAAATAAAATAAGGTTAAAAAAAAAAGGCAATTATAAAAGTTTTTAACAGTTTTTTTTCAAAGGGAAAAAAAAAGAAGAAGAAGAAGAAGAAGAAAAAGAAGAAGAGAAAAGGAAATGGCCCATCGAGCCAGGCGGCCTATTGAGCAGTAAGCTTCAGGCCCAGGACCATTGCTGGGCCGAAAAAGGAAGCGAATGAAGCTACCGCAGAACTAATCAGGTGATGGTTGCTCCTTGTTCCGCCTGCTAATTCATTGGCAGCGGTGGTAAACGGTGACCGATACTGTTCCTCCTGGACTACAAACAACGGTGGTGACTGTGAAAGTAAAGTAACCCCCTCTCTCTGTGCTCTTGTTCTTGAATCTCCAATAAATGAATAATATTGATGGCTTTAAGTGAAGGCTATGAATTCTAATATATTGAGATTTCATTTCAAAATTTTAGCCACCCAGTTGCTGTAATTTTCTTCCGTTCCAGATTACGTTGTGTTTTAGTTATTGGATTTTTGTAGGACCTTTTGCATAAATAAATGGATTCTCTAAAATGTTAGTTATGTTCGTGTAGGAAGGAAATTTGAGGTGTAAGAAATTGTTATTAAAGATGTCTAGGTTTAGATCACTCTGGCAAGCTTCTTTGGATGCTACCAAGAAAGGTACTTAGTTTGATCTTTTCTTTTTCTTTTTCTCTTCTCGTTTCGCTTAATAATGGCTTCTTTGTGCTATAGTGTATAGTTTGTAGTTATGATCACTACTTACAGAACTTTTCGTGGTTATAGCTCTCTCATGGAATGTGGAAGACTTGATGCCACCAACTGAGAGGTTCATTTTTAATTTCAATTCTAAGGAAGAGCTAAAGAACTGGCATCTTTATTCTGATTCTGAGTATGGAGGTAAAAATTTTATTTCCGTTTATTGGTTAAGTGAGTTCAATTACTATAAATCACTGCCATTTCCATGTCTTCAGAAGACAATTCTACCAGGAATAATTTGGAGATGTCTAGTATATATGAAAGTTTATGGAAGTATACGGGGTGAATTTCAGTTGTTGAATCCCTTCATTAGTACCATACTTTTGAATGATAGTGATTGGTAAAGTCTCAGACATGCAGTAAATCACTACAAACTGATCAAGCCCAACTATTGTCATGGGTACTGATCAAAGTTTTAGTTGTTTCTTTATTCATTCAGGTTTGTCCTCAGCTTCGTTGGAGATCACGGATGAGGGAAATGGACTAAGAGGTATCCGCGTATTCCTGTTACTGCTTCACATATTACCGTACAATTTTTGCAAAAGTGATGGATTCCTAGGCCCTCCAACTCGTCTGTTTATAACTTAGCTATTTCAACTTCAGTATTCATTTAATATTGTGCTTAAAAGTCCTTATGCAAAGGAAGGTAAAAATATCAAACAGAAAGTTGTGTGTGACCTACTTCTAAGGACTTAAAAATCAATTACTAACAAAGAAATTTGGATTTGGAATTCCCAACCTTTGGCAACATCACATAGAAGGTTCATCCTCTTCTACAACTGGGACCTCAAGCCCTTCATGTGTTAAATGCAACTTGACAAGTGTACCTCTCCATAGTGTTCATTCTTGATGGACCCAAAACTCATTTTGGATTTCTTTTCATTTTCATGTCTAGTGACGGTTCTTATTCAGATAGCTTTGAAGGAATAACTCCATCTTCAAAATTCGCTTCAGCTAATGTATGAAATTTTTTAGGGCAACTGTTGTAAATTTTATTTCGATATGACTTGCAAGGATATCATGAATCAAACCAACAATGTTTATCTGTTGAACTATGCGTTTTTTGGTTCAGATTTGGTCCACTGTTTTTTTTTTCAGTTTTAAAGATAATCAAGTGGGAAGTTATTTTTTATTGTTTGATGAACCAGTTTGCCTGTAGGGGCAGCATTAATTAGGATTTTGTCTCTGCATGTCACAAATCACTAATAGACTAAAGCTCTTCAACTTGGGTTCACCTCGACTCCATTCTGATTGTTGTTTCGTGCTGTTTCTCTTTAATTGAGGAATATTATACTCTGCATGAATTTTAAATCTCTTGCTAATTCTACTTCAAATGCAATTGCTGCTTTCAGATTTATTCCGCCTGTGATCATCTCATTGCCTTACATGATACATATTTGACTTGTAACAGCAGATTTATTCTATTGGATCATGAAGCTTCTTGTTATTCAATAACTCAGGGTTTATTGTAATCGACTATCTTGTGCGGATGGATTTTTTGTTGTTTCTGGCTATGTACCATGTACACTCATGCTACTCAATGAAAACTGATGCTTTCTGTTAGAAAAGGACTGCATACCTGCCAATGTCAGCTCCCGCAAATTAGAACTTGAGAATCCGATGTTGTTTTAACTTCACCTCTTCCATTGTAGCACCACTTTTTACCTGTCAATTTTCATGCTTTTCATTCATAATTCCTGATAAGTTGAATTTATCTGATAGGAGTTTTCTCTGGTAACCTGTCATTGGATGTTGCTGAGGGTGCAAAGTGGAATATTAGTCGGAGTGGTTTCTGTGGAATGCGGTCCAAGAAGGTGACTACTGAATAATATTTTCAAATATGTTTTTGCCTCAAGTGCGGCATATATATCGTGTAATCCATTCTTCACATTAAATAATGGATCCTTGGATGTTGAATGTATGACATCCTAAAAGCTACTTGAAAACACACTCTTACTTCTGGACAATGTCCCCCGTCTCTCTCTGTTTTTTCTTTTTATCTATTTATATTTCCTAGTTTCTAAACAAAACATGACTGAATACCGAATGCATTAAAGACCTTTATTTCAATCCACAAATCCTAGATTAGAGCTATGTTTTGTCCATGTAACCTAAGTCATGGGAGATTGGTTACAGGTTCATCTGGTTGTAATGAGCAGATTGTTTGAGTGAGAGAATATTTTTTTTGTAATGAGCACTTGTTTGTAGTTCTCTCACTTCTGGACTGTTGTAATGCTTCAAATTAAATATAAAACAAAATTTTGTGGTATCTTCATCTGCATTCTTCCCATTCTTCCATTCTATTAATATCACATTGGACCCTGTTGTACTACAAATGTACCTTATTGTTAAAATCATTTGCAGTTTGATGGTTTCATTGATCTAGATGCATATGATACAATAGCTCTAAAGCTTAAAGGTGATGGAAGAAGCTACATATCCACTGTGAGTTTGTTCTTTCTTTGATGATGTAATAGTATAGAGTAATAAAATTGCTGCAGCCTTTTTCATCAACTGCCTAATGGTCACTGCATGTTTCCCAGTAACTCTTTATTTGATTGTAATGCAGATTTATACTGAGAATTGGGTGAATTCACCCGGACAAATGGAAGATAATTCATGGCAATCCTTTGTTTTTGTACCCAAAGACAACTGGTATATTGCAAAGGTGTGTCCCTCTCTTTCTTGCTTATTTGCCAAAGCATGATACCAAATTTGGCTGTTGTAGATAGCATTCTGGGGACAGCATGACATTGTCCATATGGTGCATATTTGCTATAATTGATTGATTTTCCTTGTGAGAATTTTTGGTATTTATTATGATAGGTCTTCTTCCAAGGCTGTCGTTAGCAGTTGTTAATAGCTTACACTTATGTGGAGCTAAATTAGTCTGCCCTTGACGAGTTAGAGATTCTCTGTTATGAAGCCCCTGCTTGGGGAACATGACATTCATGCTTACAGTATTGATGCACAAGAAACAATGAAATTATCACATGGGGACTTTTTTCATATGTCTCGCCATTAACCCCTGATATAGGAAATTTATTCCCAAGAAAAACATGAGATTCAAGGGTCACTTCATTATTATTTGTTATTATTGGCAGGGGCAAAATTGTTGCAATTGGAACCTGGTATGTTGAAATTGTGAACTTGACGTGCTGTCTCATACTAATGAAAATATTAAGCGTATAGGGAAAATACATAGCTACTTGCTATGCTTTATTTACCATATTACCGTTCTTGTGCTCAAAAGAAACTATTGATCAGTGACCTAGCCTCTTATGGTTTCTGATTTTGTCAAATAGATTGTTTTGTGGGCATGATCGAATCCCATGGGAAAGATTATTGTATATTTGGTTGGTCTTGGTTTTTCTCTACTTGTAAAATAAGAATTGAGTGGGGCTATTGTCATGACTCAGGACAAGCGTATGTTCCCTGTGCACATTTAAAGGTTTATGTAGAGTAAATACATTAAACCTTTTGGTTTGGACAATTATTTTCATGATATTTTCAGATACCTCTGGCCCGATATTTGCCGACATGGAGAGGAAATGTTATAGATGCAAGCATGGAAATGAATCCATCTCGCATTCTCAGCATGTCACTATCTGTCAATGCAGAAGGTGGGATCCCTGGTGCTAGATCTGGACCAGGTGATTTCAAAGTTGAACTTGATTGGATAAAAGCCTTCAGGACACAGTGACTCGTTTGTCAATTGTTATTGAAAATTTTGGAGATGCCTGTTTAAAAGCACATGGTTTGCTTTCGTGTAAAAATAGTTGTAACCCTTATTTCCTTGCCCCAATAATGTAGTCTCTTCCTTTTTAGTGTACATTCATGCCAAATTAACAATGGCATCCAGCTTCATCAATTATCTTGTTTAGAGGATCATTCATCAGTTACGTGATAAAAAATCTAGGATACCACGCGAAAGAGCTGAGATGATGTTTTGTTTTCTGTGGGGTGTGGGCCTGTGAAAAGTCCCAAGTCTTTTGATCGTTTCAGGTGTAAGGTATTCTTCCCGTTTAATCAACCCTTTAAGAATTTAAACGAGTGATGGACATATGATCCTTTTGATATTTTGTTTGAGTATCTTATTTTTTGTCATCTTCTTCTAGAATGTATGATGCTAACGAGTTCTACATAACTAATGATGTGAGAGATATGAGGTTACTATCATTGGCGTTAATTGAGGTATAAGCTCATTGATACTTACTACTATTTGTGATTGTTGTTCAAGATCATGGTTGGCATGCAACGATTGCTTGTATGATGCATCAACTACAATATGTGATGAATACAGGGTCCATATACTAGAGTTGAAATTTCACCAAAGAGACCAATTTTTTTCGTGCTTTTTACGTGTTAATTGGAATTAAAAATTTTTCAAATGATTATAAAAATGCATTTCTTATATTAAATTTGAACTTTAAAAAAAATTAAATAACATAACAAATCTCTTTAAACTCGAGATAAAATCAATAGAGTTAGACCAAATAACAACAAAGTATATTGGAATCAAGTGGAAAGTAATCATTGGCCACCGTTGAAAATTGTGGTGCTCGTGTTTGGTCCTTAAGTGGTATTTCAACAACTTGTAGTTTAGACCCAACCAACAAAGAGTCTTGTTTCTTGATTTCTTGATGCATGATTATGAATTTTTGGTCGATAGAAGGGTGCCATGACTCGTAAAGTACTTCCCAAAAACAGTGCAGTTAATCAATCGAAGGTCTTCTTCCTTTATCAACTTCTCTTCGTTTACACAACTACGTGACTTCTAACCCATCGCTTCCCAGTTGCAATTAGGTATAATAGATATCAACCATTAATAATGCCTACTTGCTATACATATAGCAGTCAAAATGTGACTACGAAATATTTGCTTCAGGACCCCAGCTCTAGCTGGATGATTTGACCCTATCACCATAATTCATTCAACCGTACAAAGTTGAAATCCACGCCAGATATTGTCATGCAAATGTCCTTTCTATCAACAATCAACCAGGTTAGGTTTTTTATTTTTTTTATTATTTATTACACTTTAGAAATGAAACAAAGCTAGCGAGCTTTTCACTTTGCACTTATGCTGTCGCGCTATTACTCATAAAATACTTAAATTCCCCTTTTGTTTATTTGAATGCAAGTTGCAAAATTGCCCCTAGCTCTTGACTTGTTGTTGCAAATTGCAAAATTGTGTTCCATGAATTTACAACCCCGACATGGGAAGTTAAGTGGGCTTCTTAGTAGCTTTAATTAATTAATTAATTACTAGGGTAAATTATAAATATTTTTTTGTTTTAAAAATTAATTAATTAGTTTCCTAATCAATATTAATTTTATTTAATTTAATATTATTTTGTTTTAAAAAACTCTATTCTTTTTCATCAATTTTTTCATAATTTTTATTTTTTTATTTGTTAAAAAAATTAAATTACAAGTAGATTTAAAAATATAAAAACTAATTGATTAATTTTTAAAACTACAGGTATCATTTAATTCATTTTGAAATCTTTTTTTAAAAAAAAAAGCAGAGGAATTAATTTATAATTCACTCTTAATTAACAGTAGTAAGTACTAATTAAGAAGATGAGGTGCTACATTAATGAATGATAGCCTATAAGTCTACATATGCCAAAAAAAAAAAAAAACGAATTAGTAGCAGTATTATGCTCCTTGCATCTTTATTGTACATCAATTAAAAAGCAGCAGCAACAAGAGTTGTCTCTGTTGACACTATCTTGCTTTGCTGTTTGTTGAACCCTAGCTAGTGCATATGATTGATGCATGCTCACGGGGTGGGGAAAGTGGGCCACGTAGAATTACTCTGGGCCCAACAAACATTTTAGTTTGGGAAATGATGGCTGACGTGGACGAATGGTTTACGACCACGTCCTTTCTCTTTCTTTTCTCTCACTCCAGGTTTTGATGTGCACAGACTGCAGATGCTGACCAAGACCAAACAACACCAATACTGCACCTCCATAGAGGACGTGTTTGCTCATGTGCTATGTTGCTTTCCTTGTTTTGCCTTTGCCTTGCTATAATGCCACCGCCCTTATCTGTTTTGTTTTCTAACTTTTAATCAATTGCTCCTAAAAGGACAAGAGGCTGCTAAAAAAATTAGAAACTGCATGTTTGCGTATGAATTGCAACAACTTACGGCATGGCCTCTACTCCTATAGTAAATCCATTTTGAAAATCTTAATGATACAACTCTCGTGTTTATTATAGACGAGATTATTTTCAACTCCAACGCCCGCAGAATCCATTTTTTTGTTGCCACGAAGATGCCAAACGACATCCGTTCCAAATTTGAACATAAGTTCAAAAGCTTTGCCACTATAATAAATCGAACTAAATTTATAATAGGTTATTTTCTTTTATTCCTTGCCACTCGTTCATAAATTAAAATGAAATAACCTAAGGAGAAAAAAGAGAGAGAAATATTTGAGTAAATTATAAATTGGTATCTTTTGTTTGGAGAAATGAATCGATCAATCCCTTTTGTTTTAAAAACTAATAGTTTAGTCTTCATGTTTTTTAAATCTACTTATAATTTAATTTTTTGTAATTTTTTTTTATTTATTTTAATTTTTTAGTTTAAGAAATAAAAAAATTAAAAAAATTAATGAGAAAATAAAATATTTTATAAAATTACAAACAATATCAAATTAAACATATTTAATACTGATTAAAAAATTAAATAATAATTTTTAAAATATTAAAATTAATTAATTTGTTTCTTTAAACTAGAAGGACTGATTTATAATTTACTCAAAATAATTATCTCGTCTGTTAATTGAATTAGAATCGAAACGAAGTGGAACAATAGCTAGTGCTTGATTCTCTTACCGTGCAATTGTAATCAATGAACGTTTTTAACAGCCCAACTTGTCCTATAATTCAAATAAAAGTTAACACAACATTGAATAAAAATATCAACTGCATATCCCGACCCTTTGGTAAACACGTAAAGACATCAATGAAATCGGTCTTGAATAATTAAAAAATCTGGTTACTTGTAAAATGGGGCCTGTTCTCCCCAACTTCAACCCATAATTAGCTAGCTAAGGTTTTCTCCTTTTCGGGTGGTATTTACAATAAACCTATCCATAGGTTGAACACATGATGACAACAAATATTACCTCTAGAATTTTTATACTATTACTAGAATAATTAATTTTATAGATCCATTTTTTTAAACAAAAGACCAATACAAAGATAAAAGAAAATCATATTTGGGCGTATAAAAAAAATAAAAGGATCAATTGATCTATCCATCCTTATATAATGTATTATTTTATATACTATTTTATTTTTTTCACTCTCATATCCCAATACATGTTAATATTTTCTCTCATATGTATTTTGAAAGAAAATGCACTCAAACTCCAAAGAGCAAATTTGATTTTAAAAAATCTTAAAACGTGAAAATTTTATATTAAAAGAACTAAAAACAGAAAATTTATTTAAAAATTATAAAAAACTTTAAAGTCCTATTAAAAAAAAACCCCAAAAAGTAAATAAATTAATTAAAACTAACATGAAAAATCTAAAAATAAAAAAGTCGTGCGCATAGAGCCTCCTAATAGAAATATATATATGTCAATAAAATAAGTCTTGCAAAAGATAAATTTTTAAAATTTTCATTCGTTTTCTTGTCTTTTAAAATATTTTTTTTTGGGTCATTTAGATTTTTTGGAATATACCAAGTTTTTATGTTTTTAGATTTTTTATTTTTTCTATTTTTTTGGTTTCTCAAATTTTTTTAATTTTTGAGAATTATTTTTTATGTATTAAAAATAAAAAAAAATTATTTTGGCAGTCCGAAGGATAATTTTGTTCGAACAGTACAAAATGACATATGAAAGAAAAATATACAAAGGTACGTAGAAGTAAAAAAACATACTAGAGAATAGACCAAATATATATAATGATACAGGATTTACTAACCCAAAAAAAAAACATTTCTAACGAAGATAATAATTTTTTTAAAATTTTTTTTCACTTTTTTCTATTTTTTTCTATTTATCTATAGTTTGATAATTACTCTGAAAGAGATTATTGTAAACAGCACTAATTCAATATAGATGTTCAACTTCAGTAAGAAGCCAATAACATGAGATGAGATGCGTACTTTCGAGTTCAACTAACGTTAGTGTACGGTGTCTCTTCCTCTTTTCCGATTGGAAAGAAAAAACCCTAATACTTTTGAGGCAACAGCTAGCTAAGTTTACGCTAACAACTATAGGATAACAGTTGAGTTGGTGGGACCTATTGGAAAAACTGTGCCGTCAAAAGGACCAATCACATTTATCACAGAACCTTCTGGACGCACATAAATCTACCAAAATATCTACAACCTATATTCAATCTGCACCGTACAATTTACCCAAACCTTATCTCACGATGGACGCCAATTCTTAACGCATTAATAACGTTAACTTACTGTATTAGAATGACTAAAAAAAGACCCAAGTGGCACGTAACTATATAAATATCCGGTTTCTGGAGAGTTCTTCTTTGAACCTTAGCAGCCCACGCAGAGAGTGGTATTGGCTTTTCTTTTTGTTTGCCAATTCCATCACTCTTTGCCTTCACGGAAATTAATGCTAAGGTTCCGTGTTTTGGTTCCTAGGCATTCAGTCTTGTCCTTAAATCTTATAAATTTGCACATGCATAAGGTTCTTTGGGCTCTTTTTTTCCTTTGAGAGAGAATTTTGGCTTGGTAGCATCAATTTGTCGACAAGAAAGAATTGTGTTTGTGGGATTGCTGAGCTTTTTGCTTTTATAGTGTATTCTCAAGAATGGCAAATGGAGGAGAAGAGAAAGGGAAAAGCAATGACTTTTATCAAGTTTTGGGGTTGAATAAGGAATGCACGGATACAGAGCTCAGGAATGCTTATAAGAAACTTGCGCTGGTTAGACCTTAACTACCACCCTCTTCTCTTCTAATGGATCTCCTACTTATTTGCAAAACAAGCTGTTCATGATCAGTTTTTTTTTATGTTTTTTTGTGTTCTGTTATTGGGTTGCCAGGGCAATGAAATCGATTTCTGGCTTGGTAATTGCCGTACAGCAATTTGACCACTCTGTTTTTCATTTCTTACAATTTAATCAAATGGGCCGCAACTTCATAGATCTTTCTGGTGCCAAACAAACCAAAGTCCAACGTCGTCCTGGCCTCTTGCTTTTTTTATCTTGAAAGGGACTGATTTATTCTCTTATCGAGGGGATAGTTGGTTCGATAAAAAATTATTTATGCTGGAACTGGTTTTGCGTAAATTGGAGTTTCTAGGAGAGTAGTGATATTTTTTAGGAAAATAAGAAAAAGTTGTGTTTTTGTTTGGAACAGAGATGGCATCCAGATCGATGTTCAGCTTCGGGAAATTCTAAGTTCGTTGAAGAAGCCAAAAAGAAGTTTCAGGCAATTCAAGAGGCCTATTCTGGTAATTTACTCTCACACCATTTATTTATTAAAAAATTGTTCTCCAAATTGCATTAATAGAAAAGGAGATTCCTTTTTTTTTTTTTTTTCCCTTGGGTTGGAGAATGATATAACCTTTATGTTACTTTTGTACAACAGTTCTTTCTGACACCAACAAGAGGTTTCTTTACGACGTAGGTGTTTCTGACAGTGATGACGACGAAAATGTATGCTTGCTTTTTTTGGACGAATCTGTCCTGTTTAAGAATTTATTTTAATTCTGCTGTGTGTAGTCTAGTCATTGAGAAAACATGTTAAGCATGGTATTATGGGTGGCTTCTTTTTCCGCTCCAATATTTTAATACTGGCGGGCCCTGGAAAGCAAAAAAAAAAAAAAAAAAAAACAAAAATTTTTACACTTACCAATTTTGAGTATTTGGTGAAATTGCTTCAGGGACGCTTGATTTCGCTCTCTTATTTGAAATTGTTGCGCGCAGGGAATGGGTGATTTTCTGAATGAAATGGCTGTTATGATGAGCCAAACAAAGCCTAGCGTAAGTCTTCTTTTAACATTTCTTTTCTTTTCCTTTTTCTTTTTTGTTGTGACCTTCCACATTTTGTTTCATTCCATTTTTCTATTTTCTTTCTTTTTTTTGGGTTTTTTTTTTAATATATATATATATATATATATATATATATATATATATATATATATATATATATATATATATATATATGGGATCGTGGTCCTAGTCCCCAGCTTTCGTCTAGCTTGAGAGATCAAGAGTTTAATACGACATGTCTTTGTGTGAAGTACGAAAATAACCTGATAGTTTGTGGAATATTTTATTTCAAACAAACGAAACCGATGCCCTGTTACGTATTTGGTGCTTGTGGATCTAAATCGATGGAATTTCTTTTCTTTTTAATTTTGTTGGCATCGACGCAAAGGTTCCTTGTGTATAAATTTTGTAAATTGATTTAAGTTATTTTTTTAGTCAAATGTACTTTAATCGATTTTAACTTTAATTTATTGATTCTAACTTATGTTACTTCTAAAACGTTATTTTTTTTAGTCAATTTTTGTTAAATATACTTTTTTATGAACCCATGTTTATTTGAATAATGACTCATAATTTAAGATTTAATTTTTATAAATCATGATCTAAGTTCTTTAATGGTCAAATGCTAAGTCGTGTGATAGTGAATTTTAGTTGTCTCTATATTTGTTTTGTCCTAAGTGACTAAGAGAATTCAAACAAAAAATAAAATAAAATATTAAACATTCAAATTGTATTTTTTTTATAAATAATTGAAGTGGGATCTATTTTTCATTACATGCCACTTAAAAATTGTCAAGTAACATTTTATTTTTGGTATATCATTATTTTTCAGTCCTAAATAATTGTAGCTATTCAAACAGGAAAAACAAAAATCCAAATCTTGGACATTTAAATAAAAAGATTTACGGATTAGGCATTCAAATAGAGAAAAAAATTATCAGGCACTTTCTTTTTTATTTTTATACAAGAATGTTTTTAATGCTATTTATATTATTATTATTATGATGATGACGATGAATTATGAAAGAGTACGGAAAATAAAAGTAGATTATATTCTTTTTCTCAAAAATTGCATTTGTCTCATTGTGATATGATGGCCTATTGGTTCTTAACCACAAAATGCGTTGTTGGGCCCATCAATGACTCTTCAGCTCAATGGGCGGGCAATGGAGGAAGGTTCTGACTAACGAACCAGATAGATAAATTTGGTAGGCCCCGATCAAAACAGGCCTAATTATTCCGTACTTTTAGAGTGGTCCTTCGGTCTGTGCGCGACATGAGTGTCACACCGCAAATGTGAAGTTAATTGATGTGCGGTAAGATGTAAATGTGTGCTTCATTTTGTGTAAAATATTATCAAATATGATGCGATGCAGTCTTGGACCTGCAAAAATCCTAGTTGCAGATATTATTTCAGCCTTGATCTTTTATGTTTTTCCAGGAAAGCGTTATTGCATTTTTCGAAAAAAATTTGCGAGTTTGTTATAAATCCAAAGCTGCGGTCTGATATCTATTACAATTGAGACGGTTAAAGATAACTAGGGTTGAATAATTTGCAATTCCCTTCTATGCAAGAAATGCTTTCAATTTTGAGTTAATAAGCCGTTTCCGAAAGTGTTTACGCCGGAAACCTTGATGATACTGACTCTAGGTGACAAATTTGACACAGTAGCGTTTTAATGAAATGCCTATAGTTGTATATATTGATAGCAGCTGCTGCAATCTAAATTTACAGGAAAAAGTGGAGGAGAGCTTTGAGGAATTGCAAGAATTATTTGACCAAATGTTCCAAGAGGATCTGGGTTCGTTTGGGATTGGCTGTCAGGCTGCTACTACATGTCCTACTTCTTATGTGTCATATAGCGATACTTCCAACTCAAATAACAAACGTGTTTCTGTTGATGTGAACTTGGGGAAGACTAAGGTGGATGATTCTTCTGGCTTCAACTCTCACTTTGAGAATTTCTGTCTGGGTGTAAGTACCTTATGGTTCGGTTTATTTCTGTTACATCGTCTTGCACCATCGTACATTTGAATCGAGGAAAGATCTCTACATAGTTTTCACTTATGGTTGCGGCATTAAGATATCCTAAAACATACTTGAAATCGAGGCTTAATTAACTTTCTTAGACAGGGTTGTTGGTAATCCTATTATTTGGCCACTTGATTACTGAGGAACATGGAAATTAGTAGAACATCTATTATAGTTCCTAACCCTCTACCAATTTGGTTTATTCATAAACAGTGCAACGTAAGACCTGATGTTGAGGTAAAATATTTTTTCTGCTGGTATTACATTGCATCCCCAGTTCATGAAAATGTAACTTGGTGTTTGGAGCAATATTTCCAGATATTAATGTCCAACCCTTATTGAAGCTATTTAAAGTGTCAGATAATTTCCCTTGTGACATGTCTTGTCAAATTGACACTACTGTTGAGGCAGTCAGTTACGGATTAAGAGCAAAAGAATAAAAAAAGTGCAGAAATATGCTATGTAGATAAATTTGCAATCTCCTCGTTGATGCATTACTTCTGTTTGGTGTTATTAAGATAGGTGGAACACCAGCAACCTTTCAAGAAGGGGAAGGGAGCAAGAGGAGGAGGAATTCAAGGAGGAGCCGGCGGTAGACAGAGGCAAGGCAGGAAACAAAAAGTTACATCTGGCTATGATGTCTCCTCTCAGGACTATGGTATTTCTGCTTCATGAATCATGTTGCAGTCAAATGGTTGATAATCTTTCAAAATTTTGGCCAAACTCCCGCCCTTTGACATGGCTGCCTCAGAGATGAAGGTGGATTTGCTGGCCAAATCGAACTGATGGGCAAATTTTATTCACCTTGAACGGTGTAGAAGCAAACAACATCATTATCAGTGACGATGAAACCACAAAAACCGAACACGAATTAATTAGTTTGGTTCTTGGAGAATGGCAAGGGTCGTAATGAAACTATGATTGGGGTGGTTCTGTTTTGCTATGCTTGGCGGCATTGTGCCTCTGTTTTCAGTTTTGTTGCTCTCTCTCCTTTTTGATGTTCGTACCTTTGATTTTAAATTATGAAGTTGTCTCGTTGACCCTAACGAAATGAATGGCATGGTTATGCTTGGACGGAGTGGGGGACAATGAATTTTTTATCAGGAACTATTGGAGGAAAGCATTTGCCTGATGCGGTGTTCATAATTAGCTCTAGTACATGAATGATTTCTAAATTTCTAAATCCACATACGAGTAGGCTGTTATGACAAAAACTACAACGAGTGGGTGTAGGACCCTCTGTATTGTGTTTCCAAGCACGATGGACAGTAGCATTAACCTGAAAGCGCCTCATTAGTCGTCTGCCTTTCGGTTTGATGGTGAGTTTAGAGAGTGAGTGACGCACAAGTCATATCACATTCGTGATCCAACTTTTTGCTTTGATGAAGGCAACTAACCCTGGGTCCCAGACCAAGTTGCTGAGGTTCAATGGATCGATCTTGGGCCCCGATATGACCAAGAAATGGTCGTAATTTTCCACAATTTGCACACTCCCGACTCCTAAGTCAACTTGTGCACCGTCGGCTCTGCTGAAGAACAAAGAAGAAGAACAATATCGAAGCTTGCGGGTACTGTCATTAACATTCCGTGTCCGATTCATTGAACTTCGATTCACAAGTGCCGCAAAATTGGTGAAAGGGAAAAGCAGTGAAAACAATTAGGTTTTTTGTTTAATAATAAATCACAGAATTTACGTGTTTGTAGGAGGAGATACCGGAGGAGCTGTAAAACCAACGGCTGGGATGAATTTCTAGGGCAAATTTCTTGAAATAACAAAAGTCAACAAAATAACATATTAAATTAAATATAATGAATACTAGTCAATTGATTGATTAATTAATTTTTAAAATTAAATAAATTATTTAATTTATTTTACAGAACTAAAAGGATTAATTTATAATTTACTCTTACCTTTTATATAAACGTACTCATCGAATTTTGGGACAAGTCGGTGGCTTTTAAATTCCTATATATTTGCAAATATAATATCGGATGGCCTGTGGAGACAACAACTATGTTTTCCACATCCGGAGAACATCAAGTCTTTACCATGAATTTTTTGTTATGATTTTTTTAGCACGTGAAGAAAAAAAAATTAATTAATACTAACAAACTACTACATTAATTTCTCCAAAACGGTAATGTTGATAAAATGGGTCAAAAGCAAACAATTTTTAGAATGAGAAGACGAAAGAGCTCTGAAAAAGGTACAAGTTGATGTTGAAATATGGTGTTTTAGGGCTGCCAGTTGTGACTTTAAATGCAAGGTGGTGACAGCGAGTTGACAGTATATACTTGGAAATAATCACTTGAGATTCTGGCTTTTCTGTCAGCAGCAGTTTATAATTATTTTAGACTAATCTACGTTTTTGTTCTTTCAAAAAAAAATCCAGAACGGTCCCCAATGTCAATATGAGCATGATTTTCCACCCTTGAAGCTGAAGCTGACGATTATGATGAGTCTGCTTTGCTAGCTTGAAAGTAGGAAGTCTTACTCCCAAGCTGAGTTTTGCCAAAGTTGATGTTATTTAAAACGTCCCCATCACGAAGACAGAAAGGTCAAAGGTGGGGGCTCAAAGCTACAAGTGGGATTTTTTTTTCTTTTTATTTTTTAATGCATGGGTGGTGATGAACCTTTGATGGATTAAATAGTAATTCGGTAAACAGTTCAGTTATCTTTATAAAATTAAACAATTTTTCAACATGTCTTTACATTTTAAAATTATATCTATTATATTTTTATATAATATCAAATCAAGTTCTTCTTTTTTTTAACTCATATTAACAAAATTATATTTTTTATTTCAAAAATGTCTGTGAATTATACAAAATTGTATTAGAAAAGTTTTTCGAAATTGTTCAAAAAATTTTAAGAAATAAAAATTTTCAACTTTACTCGACAATTAAAATTTTAAAAAATAAAGATTTAACTCTTTTTTTTCAAAAAATCAAGATTATATTTTTATATGGCTTAACAGTAGTTTTAGAATGAAAATATAATAATGTTAATTTGAATAAAAGAAATTGATGGTAATATATATTGGAGAATTATATATTGTACAAGAGAAATAATAAACACAATTAGAAATATAACAAGATTTGACTAGTTATATGATGATAGATTAAACCATTTAACTATGTTACTAAATAATTATACTAAAAAATAATAAACTAACTAAACAAGTTCATAGCAACCACGATGAACTGATATTATAGTAAGACATTTAATTAATATATTGAAATCACTCATATGATATGATTATAGTTATTAGAGAATATTGGAGAAAAATATGGTGGAAATTTAGAATCAAATCAGATTGGTTAAAAATTCTAAGCGTAAAAAGAAGTAAAATCAAACATTTGATTGCAATATATATTATTAGATAATAATGAGATTAAATTCCTTGTTAGATGATATTTGTATAAGTTCAATTTGGCCATAAAAATTAATTAAATAACTTAGCCGATTTGTTATTATATACTAATCTATATTATTTTTACTCAAATTTTTACATTAGCTCAAGCTATACCATAACTACACTAGACTGAAGATGAGTCTTATTCAGCGCAAGATCATAAGTTATAAAAATAGACACAAATGTTTTGACAACGTCAATGTTTATGCATTGCTTTTTGGATGTATTAAGAAAATTGACTTGGTGGAATGGAGCCGAGCTCACTAAAGAAAACTTCAATTGTTATTTATTTATTTAGCATTTACTAGCAAGTTGAAGTAGTTTATTTCAAAAAACCTAAATTTTTCTAAGCAAATCAAACTGTTCAAACTTAGATGATGTGACATGATCTTGACAATCAAGAGTTTTTTTCACTATAAATATCAATCATAAATTATTGTGAAGAGATTAAGTTTTTTACATCGGAGAACTTTTGACTTCGAATTCTAGCAAAAAAAAAATACGAATTCTTTGTTTCAAAACTCTTCCACTCACACACCAAATAACAACATTTTAAAACTCTTTCACTTGCATACTAAATAACATTTAAAGTTCTATTTATTTAGATTTTAATTATCTGTTTATTAGCCATATGATTTGTGTTTTGTTAGCATTATTTGTTTCTCCTTTCACGTTTTTTAATATTTGTATTTTTTTATTTGATTGATTCATTGTTATTTTTATAAGTCACAGCACTAATTTTTTATATTTGGATGGGTATATCAAAAATCATTTCTACAGTATTATGAACGTATACTGCACTCCCTGTACTGGTCTGGTAAGTTGATTTGATGGCCCTAAAATTAAAATCCAAAAGTAAAAGACAGAGGAAACGAGCATAAGCTACACTTACTTGCTCATGCCGAAACAAAGCGTTTTTAAGTTTTAGTAGCGTTTAAGGCTGGCCTGTGAAGTTGGGTATGAGAGGGCCGATTAAGTTAGACGGCTCAACCAGACTAGACCAGACCACTTAAGCCCGTTAGGAATTCATTCATATCATTTTGTCATAAGTCCGAACAGTCTAGACCAGACTTAACTGAAATCCTCGAAAGACCACTTAAGCCCGTTTACTTGACTCCAAAAAAAAAAAAAAAAAAAAAAAAAAAAAAAAAGGAAACTAGGATTAGGCGTACTTTGAGTCGCATAATCAACGCAACCCCATTACTGTCAAAACTAACCCCATTATCAAAATCAGATTTGTAGTCTAGCGTTTTCTTTTTCCCCGGTTTGATGACGCTTTCTCAAATCCAATGCATAGCGTCCTCAAATCCTATATATATATATATAGCGGGCGCGCAATTTTTCCGGAAAGAGTAAATCATTTTCATAATAGCTAAAATATTTGCAAATCATTTAATTGGGTTATACGACAGCTGCTGGAGGTGATTCCAGATGGATTTTATAAGTACTCAACTTAGCCTGGACTAGGTTTGATTATATATTGTATAAAAACAGGGGAGCCTATAGATTTTTTTCCAAAAACACTCAAGAAGCCACCTTACAGGGAGGGGTCGCCATTCAAACCACAAAAGCATAATCCGCATCCCAAAAAATCCCGAGTTGGTGACATTGAGGAAATACCAGTTCACTCCCATTTACGACCCAGCCCCTCAAAAGATGAAGGAAAAAGGAAAAAGGTCAATCCATATTATTGGTACGGTTTAATGACGCTAGAGCTACTTTTAGTATCGATTTTTTATAAAAAAATATTTTTGTAATTGCAATTTCAGTAATTAAGTTTTTATAGTGTGGTATATTAAGCAACATAAGTCCATTTCGTTATAAAAATAATAATAACAACAATAAAATTGAAAAGAAAAATGATAGAAAAATAAATTCATTATAAAATAAAGCGAATATATGAGATACCAACTTAAAATGATTCTCTCAATCTCTCCAAAATACTTGTTCACAAACTAATTAACAATTAAGTCTATTTATAGGTTTCGAGATTAGAATAAGAATTGAAAGGAACTATAAATCATTAAAAGTACATAAATTATTGAATCAATTATATAATTTTTTTCAATTTTTGATATTAAATGGTGAATTGAATCACATTAAAAATCATTAATTATTAGTAGTAAAAATATAAAAAGCATAGGAACATTCATTATTTCATAATACTCCTCTTTGAATGTTCACCATACAAGGAACGTGCCTCATAGAAACCTTATAAGGAGAAAATTCGGTGAGAAAAAATTCTAGTGAAGGAAAAGAGTACGATATTTCATGTACACATTAATCTCAATGTGGGCTCCTCCCGTTGAAAACATCATTTAAGATTTTTAAGACGATGCATCTCGATCTTATGAACAATTTTCTCAAAAGTTGTGGTAGGTAATGTCCTAGCAAATAAATCCTCCGGATTGTCACTTTGGTTTATTCTTCCTTTAATTGAATTATAAAGACAACATTATCTTCATATAATATTATTGGAACTTCTTTACTCGGTAGATAAACCACATGTCTTTCGGATATGATGGATCGTTGATATTAGTTAAACACATTCTTAACTTGCCTCATAAATTAGTATTTTTGCATGGTTTGAATATCTAACGAGTTATAGTTTGCTTCATAGAATGTTATGACATAGTTGTATCACCAATTATAAATACATAACTCTGTTTGTAATCCAGCTTTGTATGGATGAGATAAATAACCTACATCCACATAACCAACTAAATCGACTTTTATTTATTTGAGTAAAATAAATACCATATCAATTTTGTTTTGGAGACAACATAGAAAATTTTTAATTCCATTCTAATGTCTCCGAATTGGAGCGAGAACTATGACTTACTAATAAAGTTATAGAAAAGACTATCTCGAGTATAGTATTATTAGCAAGATATATTAATGCACCAAGTAATAATAAGATATGGTACTTCAAGATCAAGTAGTTCTTTGTTATCTTCTCAAAATCGAAAAGGGTCTTTTTGGATATAAAGTGAATGAATTACCATTAGGCTAGTTAATGGATGATCTTTATATAGAATAATTGTAGAATTTTTTCTATATAAATTGAATAATGAATAAAAATATCATTATCTAAGTGCTACAACTACAAATTGAGATAAAAAAATTTTTTCCTAAGATATTTCATATCAAAATCTCTTTTTAGATAACTTTTGGCACTTGAAAT